GACTTGTTGACACGGAAATCCTTTCACGGCCTGTTTCGTATTTTTTTTTTAAATTTTTGATGGAGCTGTCGAGTCCTACCCCGAACCAATCAGTCCCATCTGACAGCGCTCGACAGCTCGTCGGCCTCGGACTCTCGGGCCTTCCAGTGGCACACCTTCATAGCTTTATTGGGACCCCATTGCCTTGGGAGCCGCAGAGTTGGTCGAGACCGATGTTTGGAAATATCGTCATTTCGACAGCGCTTTGGTCACAGTGTTCGATTCTTTGACGGTGTGCCCCCCCCCCCCTCCCTTTCCCAGGGCGATGGCGATGCGATGAGCCCCTAAGCAGCGACCACGCCCATGGTGAACCCTCGTCCCGCCCCGCCGCGCCCTACCACGCCCTGCTAGCATACCGTCCACGCCCTGGGAGGGTTGCAAGGGAGGGGCTCTACAACGCCCTACTGTTACGCAATAGCGTACACTCCTAAAATCATATTGGGAAACGTAGTTTGTCCGAAATAATCATGTGAGCTTTGGTGGAAGTTTGGTGCCTTGTTTTCACCATCAACTTTTTATCCTACCATTTACAAGAAAGCTTACATGAATATAAGCCGCGCTGGGCTGATCGGGCGGCTGATCGGCCTGGGGGCGGCCTGGAGGCGGCCCGGGGGCGGCGGCGAACCAACCCGTCAAATATTTAAAAGAGTTGCTGTCTGTGGCCGTGTCCGTCACGGCGTGCACGGCGTGGGCGGGGCTGCTGCCCTGCCGGCCGGGGCGCGGCCCCGTCACGGCGAGGAGCACGTCGACGACGTCAACAGAGGCAGCGCGTCGCTTGCTTCCACTGCGGTCAAGTGGCACCTCGGCGGGGCCGGGGCCGGCGGGGGGGGCGGGGCGGGGCGGGCTTAAAAAAGGCGGCACGCGGCGGGGGGTAGCGACCCCTACGTCGGGGGAGGCGCAGGCGGCGAGGCAGGGGGTGGGCGAGCACCAGTCGACTCAACTAATTTCGTCCCCGGGCAAAAACAATAATCAATCTTCATCTGGTCGGACGGACGTCCGCTCTGTCCGCGTCCGACCGTCTATCTTTCCATCAGTGTGCTTTGCTGCCTTTCGGCGTCTTCCAGTCCTCCCAGCCCTTCCAGTGGCGGGGCAGGGCGAAGGGCAGACCAAGGGCAGGCCGACCGCAAGGCCCCACCTCAGGGCCCCGCCGGTAGGGCTCCGTCGGGGACAACGATATCAATTGTGCATCCGGGCACGCCGCCGTGCCGCCGTGCCGCGCCGTGCCCCCGGCCGCCCCACATTTACCAGGCCGCCGCCGCCGGGACGCGAACCCGGGCCCAGCACGGCCCGCTGGGGTTTCTGGGAACATGTTCTGTTTGTGGGATGTGCACCATTACGGGGCGAACAGTTGAGGGCGTACGTGGACGTGCGTGACTGTGTGTGTGTGGCAGTGTCCGTGTGTGAGTGGCCGTTGTTCCCGCTGCCCAGGGCGTGGCGACCTAGAACGCCCTCAAAACACACAGCAGGCCGCGCAGGCCGGCGCGGTGGCTAGGGGTGCGGCACAGCGCGAGGAGGCGAGGGTCGTCCGTCGCGGTGGTCGGCACAGTCGGCACAGTCGCACCAAGGCGGCAAGGCGGCCGGCGGACTCATTCCGAACAACGTCGCGCTGTCTTTCTCGCTCCTCACGGGGCGCGACGAGTGCGAGAGAGACAGCGCGATGAAAGCACGGCTCAGCCTGCGGGGCAGGCGGGGGGCAGGGGGCAGGGCCAGGTGGGCTCGGCGGGCGGTAGCGCGAACCAAGGGAACCAAGGGTAACCAGGCCGGCCGAGCGACCAAGTTGGGCCAGTTTCACAGTGCTGCGTCCTCCAGGCCGGGACCCCCATGAGTGCGAGAGAGACAGAGCGAGCACCGCCTTATGAAGTAATAACACTTGGTCGGCGCGTGTGAAAACAACGAAGAGGGGTGGCTAGCCAGGCTTGCCAGGCTTGCCTCAACAAGGGGCAGCAGACGGCGGTGGACAGCCGCTCCACCGCCAAACACGAATCGCCCGAAAATAAATTCCGTCTCGTCTAAAGTTTTCGACACTTGAACTGATTCTTTTCGGCCTCGTCGCGCCGTTTTTCACGGTGGACCGGGGCCGCGAGTCCGGGCCTGGCCTGCATCGATCAGGTTTAAGGCCCTTTAGGCCCTTTAGGAGGTCCTTCCCGGAAGTGGGGACTAACTGGGAGGGAAGGGGGAATGTCAACACAAATTTTGCACATTGTCAAACACGTCGTCGGGGCGACAGCGGCGACAGCGTCTCGAACGGACCTGGAGCGCTTGGAGCGCGCCCGGGCGCTGCCTCACCCTTTCCGAACTCCCCCCTTCTCCCCCTCCCCTTCTCGCTGCCCCATCACTCACCGTCAGCCCGCCGCCGCGCCGCCACGGCCACAGGGACGTTTATCCGCGATATTCAAGCCAGAAAATAGAGAATGTGTGCCTAGATGGGGCGGGGCGGGGCGGGCCGGCTCCGGCCGACCGGCGACGCCCCTGTAGAGTCGAGGATAGGCAGCCCGACCAACAGCTCGGCGCAGCGGTGACTCTCAGGAGCATCTTGGTGGTGACAGGAAAACCAGTCCTGCAGCGTGTGTGTGCGTGTGTGTGTTGAAGTCAAAGTCGCTGGCCCGTTAAACAGCGTTAGGCTGCAATCATTCCTCTGGCTGCGCTGCGCATCCGCGCGACGCACGACGCACGGCGGGCTGACGGGGTCGTCTGGGGCGGCGGGGCACGGCGCGGCGCGGCGCCTGCAGGTGGCGGTGGCCGTGCAGGTCCTCCACTGTAGGTTCAGAACAGCCGCCGGCGACGAACTTACGCCGCCCGGGCGACGCGGCGACGCCGGCGCCCGTCTGGTTGCCTAACTGCGGGGGGCGTCTAGCACGTCTAGCGCCACCCTCGCAGCGGGCGGCACGGCGTGCACGTCAAGCCCCCCCCCCCTCCCACCATTCCGGGAAAAGAAGATTGAATGGGTGGGGCTGCCTGATGAAGACGAGGACGGTCCGCTAGCGAATAACGACGACTGCACCGGAACTTTCCAAAAGTCCCCTCTGTTCGCACCGGGCGGTAGTTGAACCCGTGCCCGGGCACCGCGCACCGGCAGGACCAGGAGGCCGTCCAATCTCGCAAGTGGCCACTTTGGCGGCATCGCTCTGGCCTCGCTCTGGCCTCGCTCTGGCCCCCGAGGCGTCCTTGGGCCTTGCGAAAACGGGCCCCAAATGACCCCGGAATGGGTCAGCAGTCAGACCAAGGCCGCGCCCTGCTGGGCCGCGTGCGCGCCGTGTGCCAACCAGCGGGTGGACAGCGGTCCTTTTTCTGTTTCTCGCGGCGAAGCCTCCGCGAAGGCCGCGCGCCTGGACGCAGGCCGAGTCAGGCACCCCGGCGTCGGGCAGCGTCCACACTGCAAGCGGAGCAACGACGCCAACCCCAAAGCGACGCGTTACGTCGCCGTTACACTGTTACGGCCAACGCGTAGTTACATAGTCGCGTCGTAACTGTTGTTGATGCAGCGCGTAACGAGGTATAACGCCCCGTTAAAAGCATCGTCAACACACCCCGCCCTCGCCGCGCCCTCGCCGCGCCCTCGCCGTCCTCGGCGCACGCACCCCGCTCTGTTGGTTTACGCCTCGCGGTGGGCGATGTCACTGCGTTGTCACTGCGTTGCCGCGTCGTTGTCACGGACGCGATCCTTATCCGTTTCGGCCGTAATGATGTTCCGGGCGACGCCATGGCGACGCGGTGCCGCGGGAGTCGTTGCGCGCGGTGTACTACAGGGCCTTGGGCGCGGCCCGCCGCCCTCGGCCGCCACCCCCAGCCGCCCCCAGCCGCTCCCAGCCGCCCCCGGCCCGCCCCCGGCCCTCCCCCGGCCAATGCCCCCTCCCGGTTCACTTGTACGTATTCGTGGGGTACTGCGGCTCACGGGCAGCACGGCAGCATGCAGGAGGGCGCGCCGGCTTTGCGCGGCGTCGGTGCTGGATGGGACAAACGCCTGTGTCTCCCCGCGAGTGCGGGAGAGGCTAGACACTGCGCGCAATCTGCCTGCGGGGGAGCGTATAGGTGTCGGTTGACCGGGGTGCTGGCGGGCCAGGGCGGGCCAGGGCGGGCCAGGGCGGGCCACTCAGCACTCCGGCCGGGCCGGGCGGGGAAGCGCGGCGTCTGGCAAAGCAATTGCCCTACTTCGCCGACTTGGCCGCCCGGGGCCAACGCCGCCAACGGGGCCGCGCGCCATGCACCGCCACCCTCCGCCGGGGAGGTCGGGGAGGTCGGGGAGGTCCTCGTGGACAAGCGCGTCGCGACGTGGCACGGCACGCCTCGCCACGCCACGCCAGACCGCGCCCAACTTGCACTTGTCCGGAGTGGGTGCGGCCGGTGCGACCATGGCTGCGCCCTGCGCCCTGCGCCCGCCCTGCGGCCTGCCCTAACTAGTGAAAGACACGAAGCCGAAGCCGCCGACGCGGCGAGACTCCCACCGGCTGGGCGGCCAAGGCGCGCCTGGCCTGCTCCGCGCTCCACCACCACCGTAAATAAACACACTGCTATTCCCAGCCTGCCGGCTTGCTGATAAATAAATGACGGCCCCTATCTGTCTCTCTCGCACTCACGCGGTGAGCGCCGCGTCCCGTCGGGGTGCGAGGGAGACAGAGCGGCGATGTGTTCGGAATCGCCAGCCGGGCTGCATCCTATGCCAAGCGGCCCGAACTCTAGGTTTCCCCGAGGGTTTCCCGCAAAGGCGGAGGTTGCCGTCGACGGCTTTCGCGGAGGCCGGCGGTGGCGGTCGTCGCCGCGCTTGTCCTGTGTCAGGGCGCCAGGGCGCCGCCGACGAGGCCAGGGCGGGCGCGATGCGCTCACAACACCGCAGCGGCGCAGCCTCCCTTCCCGTGGAATGCATAATGCAAGGACTAACGCCCTCCGCGCCACGCCGCGCCACGCCGCGCCACGCCGCGCCACGCCCCCTCACGCTCACGCCCTGCTCCGCGTGCTTGTTGCAGCCTCCAGAGCCACATCCCCGTCGGCATGGACCGCGGCCGCGTGCGCCGCGAGCTCCACGACGCCCTCAACGTCTGGGCCAGCGTCTCCAACCTCACCTTCAGGGAGCAGCGCGCTGACGCCGAGATAGAGGTGTCCTTCAAGCGGTGAGTGCCCAAGCCTCGCCCTTGTTGTTATTGTTGTTGTTGTTGCTGATGCTGTTGGGAAACGGAAACGGCGCCATGAAAAATGGATCAGCTCTAAATGGAAATGCGAGCCGGAATGTAGTGAGTACATGTTGTGTCTGGCCTGGCGAGCCTGGCGAGCCGTCGCCATGGCTTTGTTTTCTCCTCTCTCTCTCTCTCCCCCCCCCCTTTCCGCGGTTTGGACGACGTGCCGAACTGCAAACATTTCGTTCCATATTCCTCGCGGAGGGCAACTACTTCCGCAAATGGCCCCAGCAGACTGATTCCGAGAGTCGTTTTCGTCGCTCTGTCTCTCTCGCACTCGCGGGGCGTACCCTCAAGGTGCGAGAGAGACAGAGCGACGAAAACGACTCTCGGAATGAGTCTGCTGCTTCTTCTGACGGGCCACGGCGACGGGGGCGTCATTCGGCTAATCAAAACCCAATTACGAGGTGGCCGTCGACGCCCCGCGCCGCGCCGCGCTCCGGGCGGCACTCCACGCCGGAAATAGACGCGCTGCCGGATATGGCCGCCGGACTGCTACGCCCCCAGTGCCTGCCAGTGCCCCTGGCCGCCTCGGCCCGCCTCGGGCCGAGGGCCTCGGGGTGGCGCCGGCCGCTGCATCCTCTCGCTCTGTCTCTCTCGCACTCACGGGGCGCGCCGTCTCGGTGCGAGAGAGACAGCCGCCGTGACTGTCCGGCCGGCAGCAGGAAGGCGGCGGGGACGCGACGCGCTGTTTTGCCACCGCGATTCTTGTTTTCTCAAGTCGCGCCGTCTCGCTCTGTCTGCCCGCAGCCTGGCCCACAACGACGGCTTCGACTTCGACGGGCGCGGCAACATCCTGGCGCACGCCTTCTTCCCCGGCGACGGCGTGGGCATCAACGGCGACGTGCACTTCGACGAGGACGAGCAGTGGTTCATGCTGGACGACGGCCCTGGCGCGGACGGCGGTGGGTTTCTCGTTCGTCTGGGGGCTTGCCTTGCCGCCTGCTTGGCCCGGACAATGCGGCCGGGGCGGGGCGGCCAGCGGAGCGAAATATTCCGGCGGATCCGTGTCGAGAGGGTTGCCCGTCCACCGCGTTGGCGAAGCCACGAAGCCCCCGAGACCGAGTTTTCTGTCTCCTCCGCGAAGCCTTCTGTACTTTGGCAACACTGGACGCCGTCGCGGTGGTGGCGTCCGGGTTACACTAGAGGAAGGGGAGGAAATCTTTAACCGAGTGGACGATTCAATGGTGCGATTCCAAGCGCGTCACGGCGGAGCGACGCGACGCTTTGTTTCGCCGGCCGCTGTAGGAGGCGAGCTGTACCCGTCGGCGCAGAGTACCCCCGGGTACCCCCGGGTACACAACGCCTAGGGCCATAGTACCCTGGGCGCCTAGGCGCAATGCATCCCCCCCGCCCCCCCGGATACAAAAATCGAGAAAAAAAGAAGAAAAAAGGGGGGCCCTTCTCCCACCTCCGCACACAGGTCGGAGGGCCGCCTGCAACTTCGGTGGATCGGGGGAACCGGTGCTTTACAGGCGGCGACCCCAGGGGTTCTCGTCTGTATATGGGCCGGGCTTGAAGGGCGGGTTTGACAGTCTCTCTCTGCCTTGAGAGCCTTTGCTTTTCGCGGGGTGGTCTGTACCAATGTACACCCGCTGTCCGGCGCTCTCTACCAAACATACAGCTTGTTTAAGGGCCAGCTTCAAAGGACTTATCATCTCCTCCCGACGAATCAGGAGGACCCACCCGCGACCAATTACGGGTGGCTGGATTGACGGATCAAATACTCCGTCGCTCCAGTGCCGAGGCCAACCCGCCGAAGCGCAGTTGCTTTTTAGACACCCCAGCGGAGTGGCCAGGTGAATGTGACTCTGACCACTACGCTATCAAGCTTGTACGTCTGGCGTCGTGTTGGACGACGGGTTTGAGTTGCAGTGGAAGGAAGCCAGTCGAAAAATGTAATGAAATGATGGGAGTCGATCCCAGGACCCTACTGCCGGGACCGCACGACTTTTGCCGCTCGCCCACCACGGCCCATGACGAAGGGAGCGGCGTGAGGCGGGCTCTTGACGCGACAGGAATGGACCGACCCGGTCAAAATTTCACAAGAAGTTTGGGGAGTCGAACCGCCGACCTCAGCACGGAGAATCGACGCCTCTACTCCCTAGACCACCACGGCACATGCAGTTCGTAGGCTGAAGTCACGGTTTTCAACCACACTGGGCGAGGCAGTAAAATTATGTTAATGTTTGTTAGGAATCGAACCCCCGACGTGTGGGACTGTTCTACACGGCTCCGCTCTGATGGCCTCGAACCGTTCCACAAAAGAAAGGAAATAAAAAAATAAAATTTGAACCGCACTGTGCGAAACTGTCGACTTCAAATTTGCACAGTGCGGTCAATTGCACGGCCCGAGTTCATATTCCTTTCCTTTTCGGACGGTTCGAGGCCTCAAACTGGACTTTAGACTCCACGTGCGGTCATTCCTGCAAACTACTAATCCTCCCTTGGTAAGCCGTGGTAGCCTACGAACTGTGTGCCGTCCGGCAGTAGGGTCAGGTCGATTCTCCGTGTGAGTCGGTTCGACTCCCACTTCCTGCAACTCAAACCCCTCGTCCAACACGACGCCAGCGTCAAGCTTGCAGCCTAGCGCTCAGAGTCACATGCCTGGCCACTCCGCTGGGGGCAAAAAACACTGCGCTTCGGCGGGGCCTCGGCATCGGGGCGACGATGTATTATTTTTCAATCCGCCTCCCTAATGAGCCGGTCGGGCCACCGACGTCGGAGGAGATGATAATCCTTTAAATGGTCAGAACAACCTGACATTCCGTAGAGAGCGCCGGACAGCGAGTGTACATTGGTCAGACCACCCGGCAAAGCAAAGGCCCCACGGAGAGATTGACCGTCAAACCCGCCCTTAGGCCCGGGCGTATACAGACGAGATCCCGGGGGGTATAAGCCTGTTTAAAAACCGGCCCATCAACCGAAGTTGCAGCGGCCCCGCCTGTAGCGGGTGTTGGAGAAGGGCCCCCCTTTTTTCTTACTCTCAAGGCAGGAGGGATGCAATCCGCCTAAGCGCCCATGGTACAGGACACCGGGGTTGCCGGGGGGTACACCGGGTCCCGATCCCGAAGTTGAGGCGGCTTCCACCTACGCCGAACCGGCGCACAGAGGGCCAGAAGACCGGTGGAGCTTCCAATTCTAGACGTTGTGAGGCAGAGATGCATTACAGGCCTCAAACGAACTATGGCCCAGCAATGGTACCCGGGAGGTCCTTGGGGGGGGGGACGTTTGGGTCAGTCCATTCTGACCCGGAGCCAAACGCGTCCGAGTTGTGGCCGCCCCACGGTCTCTGGCACACAGTGCGGCGCGCGCCAGCACTCCCTCCGGAAACGCCAGAGAATTCAGGAGTGCGCGAGCCGCGAGCACCCCACGATTCCTCGTTCGGAGAGCAATCCATTGGTGGGGTGACACGTTTGGGTCGAGTCCCATTTAGTGACTTGGAGCTCCAAACGCGTCCTGAGTTTTGGCCGCCTCCACGGGTCCTCTGGCCCACCACAGTGCGGCGCGCGCCACGCACTCCCTCCGGAAACAACGCCAGAGAAGTTCTGGAGTGCGCGAGCCGCGAGCACGCCGCACCGCCGGGCAGGACGTCATGTCGATGGGGCTTACGCAAATATTCGGCCATCCCTTGCTCTCTCTCTCTCTCTGCAACTCGCGGAAAAGTGGAGACTGGAGACTCGTCGCGGCGCGGCGCGTTGCAGCGCAGGCAAGGCGCGCAAATCGGATTTGGCTTCCTCCCTCTCCCTCCCTCTCGCCGGCGTGTCGCGCCTTCTCCTCATGTTTCATAACTCGGCCCGTGTCGGCCTGTCGGCGAGAAACGCTTTGCAAACCGGCGGGGAAGGGTCTGGCGGGAAACACGCGCCGATTCAAATAACGGAATTACCCCCCGTGTCGTTGTCGTTGTTGGATGGAAATGCGACACGGACACCCCGGGGCGGGGCTTCCGCGGGACGAGGCCGGCGAGTGGATTGCTTGGATAGCCTACCGCCAGTGTCGACCACAATTCAAATTCCGCCGGAAAACAGCACCGCGCATCCGGGGGGGGGATTAGAGGCACGTGAATAAAAAGCGCAGTTCCACCGTGTCGGTGTCGCGGTCTCTTGCGGCCTGGCGCCTGCGAGGTAGGCCAACACCCGCCCCGCCAGGCACCGCTGTGGAGACGGTGGCCTACCTCGCCCCTGTGAAGACGAGGGGCGGGGTGGGCCACCGTCTCCACAGCGGTGTGTCGCTGGTTGGATGGGTGGCCTACCTCGCAGGCGCCAAACCCTCACCCTCGCGATGAAACAGCTTCCCCACAACACGCTTTGGGATGCCGAGGTCGAGGACGAGGACGCACACTGATAGACTCTCTGGTTGCAGGCATCAGCCTGTTCGCGGTGGCGGCGCACGAGTTCGGCCACTCGCTGGGGCTGTCCCACTCGTCCGTGCCGGGCGCCCTCATGACGCCGCACTACCAGGAGCTGCCGCGCGACTTCCAGCTGCCCGAGGACGACATGCACGGCATCATGCAGATCTACGGCACCAAGGGCCGCCTGTGGGACCGCATCAAGCCGTACACCCCGGACCCGGACGCGGGGGGCTCGCCCCGGGACAGGGAGCCCGGCGGGGGCTGGCCCGGCGTGCCCGGCGTGCCCGGCAGGCCCGCCCCCGCGCCGCCGCGCATCGCCCCCACCACCGCGCAGCCGCCGCACTCGCCGGGCAGGAAGCGGCCGGACAAGCCCGACAAGCCCGACACCTGCAACACGGCCTACGACACGGTGGCCGTCATCCGCAGGGAGGTCTTCATCTTCAAGGACCAGGTGAGTCTCCCAGTGGGCCCCGAGCGACCGCAACTTTATCTTTTAATTTTCTCTCAACAAACTGTCCCTTGACTAATTAACTTTTTGTGCATGATGGCCAGTATCTCTGGCGCATCGGGGACAGGGGCCTGGAGCAGGGCTACCCCGCCGAGATCAAGCGGCTGTGGGGCGGCTTGCCGCAGAACTTCACCCGCGTCGATGCGGTGTACGAGAGGAGCGACAGGAAGATAGTGTTCTTTATTGGTAAGATTCTGCTCTATTCTGAAATATGTTTTGTTCTCACATTTCAGACTTTTTAATTAAAAAATATTTGTGGCTTTGTTGCAGGCAAGGAGTATTATGTCTATGCCGCAGACAAACTTGTGCCAGGGTTCCCCAAACCTCTGACCGACTTGGGGCTTCCCTCGACTCTGACCCACATAGATGACGCCATGGTTTGGGGTTACAATGGCAGAACATATCTATTCTCTGGGAGTATGTACTGGAGGCTAGATGAGGAAATAGGGAAAATCGAGTTGGACTACCCTCGAGACATGGCTATGTGGCGTGGAGTTGGATACAACATTGATGCAGTCGCTCAACTCAATGGTGAGATTCATCATGACAAATTTCAATGGTAAAATACAGTCACTTTTGGTATACAGTCACTCTTATAATTTTTTGAATTATTTCCCACAGGAACAACATACTTTTTCAAAGGCAAGGGGTATTGGAGATTCAATGATATGAATATGAGGGTGGAGCATCGTCTCCCCAAACCATCCGCACCGTTCTGGATGGGATGTCCGGAGCCAAAAGGGGGATGGTTTGATTGGGAGGAAAATTCTATTGACATCTACAACGATATTGAAAGTAGCTTTTCTAGCCAATTCTTTGATTATGCTGACGACGATGATGATGATGATTCTGCTGCACCTCAAATTACTTCTACCATGACTGTGTTGTGTCTTTGTCTCTCTTTTTCTTCATACCTCTCACTATAGCTCAATAATGTGCAATTTTAATGTTGTGAATGCCTGTTTTCATGGCAAACCATTTAAGTTAGTGCACAGCACTAATATGCACTAGGCTGTACACAAATTATTTATTACTTTCATCGATTATTTAGATATGATTTCTTTGTCGAAACTTCCTCAGTTGATGTATGTATTTATTTCAGAGTGTATGAGACTCCTAACAAAGTATATCCTATGTCCTTGAGTCCTGTCTGATTTGTTAGGCCCACTGCCACTTTAGTTTTGTACTGTCCTACAAGCTTCTCTTTTTTCCTGACCAATGATGGTTAGTTATTAAGAATATCCTATCTTAAGTATAGATGAAATATGCCGACCCAGAAGTGGGCAACCCTAGTCATAATTATATATTTTTACCTTTAACTTTACTCATCCATTACTGGATCCAAAGCAAAAAGATATTATTTTGAATGAAAGTTTTTATCTTGAATATATTTTGTCTGCATGTTTCATGAATGAGTGTCCATACTTGAAGTGATCAAAGATAATAAGAAGTCTTTCAATTCACCGTCACAAGTGAATTTATCCAAAGATGAGATGACTATGAATGAAAATGTTGGCTAGTTTATGTCTTTTTGTTCTGTTCTTTGCAAATAATGAGTAGTTGAGGGGTGGAAAGAGTAACATTTTCCCTCTGGTTTGAACTAGTATGATCTGCAAAAGTAAAATTTTCATTGTTTTGTGATAATTGAGGGAAGGATAGATGGTAGGTTGTGAGAGTTTTTCTCCATTGTTACTTTCATCACCAAATTAATGGATGTGAGGCACTCCGGAAATTCCTTGAGTTCTATTGTATATATTTTTGAAACAACTACTTATTTTCAGGAGAGCTCTTATGATGATCTGTGATTTGTAGGTATATTTGCCACTCAACATGATATGATTTATTTGGAGTGACTTGCTTCTGGAACATGCATTTATCTACTCTCGTGTACTCTTTTTGTAATTTTTTGATATTTTGGTTTTATAAATGTGATATTGAACCTTAAGTCCATCTTTGTAAAAGTCTCAGTGCCTTGGATGATTAAACTTTTATAAAAGAAATTTCTACGTTTTGGTTTGATACTTTTATTTCAAATTTTTTTACATGTGCATTATTTTATACCAAAAAAATTGCTAGTACTTTCGAGCACATATCTCTAAAGTAAGTACAAAAACAAAAATTTAGCAAAGTTGCAGTATCACAATAGCTCAGTGCAAATGGAGCTTAAACAATTGCAGCTCAAAACTAAAGCTTCAAACATTGAAACAAAACCTTAATTTTCTACTTATAGCTAAATACACAATAAATACAAATATGATAGATGTACAAATGAGGGAAGAGAGCATGACAAAGATGAAAAAATCTTATTACAAGATAACATGAATGGGTTCAAACCCCCATTATTGGTGTTGGCTTAGCAATGACATGAGACGATTCCTCAGACATTTTTCTTAAACAATGACAAAATTACTATTCAAAATCTAGAAACTTGCTAAATGAATTGTCTTCAAATCCATCTCCAGAAGGAATCCCTTTGTCCCCTTTCGTAGTCTGAAAAGGGAAAATTCAAGACAAAATGAAAAGTTATCTTCAATAGGAAATACAGTAATTCAATGGGAAAGAAACAGTATAAATTAGATACCTCTCTATACTTTTGCAGGTACAGTTTCAATGGTTCAACATAGTTATCAAACCCTAGTGTTGTCATGGCATACAGAATATCTTCACCATTAATAGTTTTACGTTTCTCCATATGACAACGATCACTTGCCTCAGAAGTGATAAAACTTATGAATTCAGATACACACTCCTGGACACACTCCCTGGCATCTTTTGCTATCTAAAATACAGAAAAATATATAAAACATTTTTTTAAAACTCAGGATGGAACCGGTTTACTGTGATTGTGACATTACCTTTACCTTGCCAGACTCAGGTATAGCTTTTTTCATAATTTTGGCAACATTGGCTATAGGTAGAAATCTGTCTTGCTCTCGCAATGGCAAACCGTTTTTGTCATCTTCATGGTTGGAGTCATCTGTATTTTCACCAGTCATCACAGCATCTGGGTCATCATCTTAAACCAAACGACAAACAAAGTTTCATTAAGAGAAACAATAAGATTAAGCCTTCCCGATAAAAATCAGAGTCCCTTACCATCCAAATCCTCCGCCTGTACTAAGTAATGACCATCACCACTGAGAAACCCAGCCCCTAGATCGTCTCCACTTTCACTGTTTTCCATTTTACTGTAGAACAAAACCAAAAATGTGGTATTAAAAAGAATTCAATGAGGTAGTCTACCGAACAAAGTATTCGTATAAGTGAATAGGGGAGGGGTATGCAAATCGCAGATATTCGATACGGCAAACTAAATCATGTGAAGTAAACCGAAAAGGTACACTAGAAATTAATGTATGAAATACGAAAGAGGTAACAAATTGGCAGGAATAAGAATTGCATCATGCGGTTGAAGCATCTTATAACCTCTACGAGACACAACATTGTCGAGGAACTATCTCAAGAGTGAAACTATTCAACAGTTTCTGCACTGAATAAATAGAATCAAAGACTCTTCAAATACCTTTCTGAAAGCTACTTCGGTTAACGCAAAAAAGCACCAGAAATTTGAAAACAGGTAAACAAAATAAGCTTGTTTACAGCCACGACGGAAGCGTTAAACCGCTTTCGATGTCTCGAACTCCCACTACCAACGTAACAAACCTCAACTGACAAATGAGCACCTGATCAATCTACAATTTGTTGGAATAAATCGAAAGTTAAATTTAAAAATATACGTAAAAGGTATCTTTTATTGGAGCGATGCTATCATGACCATTCAAAAAACAGTTTAAAATACTTTTTTTTTTTCAAGGTTTTCTCCGTTTGTATCAGTTTTTCATAGCAGACGAATAGCAATGTGTTTTCGGGTTGGTGTTTGGGTCGAGCAGACACCTTTAGCAGAAGACCACACAATGACAACCACAACAATCGCGACGTCAGTGGGGATGCAGCTGTTTTAAGCTTCGCGTGGCCATGAAGGCCGTGGAACTCAGCAGGACTGCTACCTGAGAGACGCAAATAGTTGAGTTGAACCTGCAGCCCGGTGTTTCGTGCGCGTTGAATTTGTTCGAGGCAACACCAGGCGACGCCTTGGTTAGTGCTCCATTCAAGGACGTTTCAATGGTCGCAGATTCTCACAGTGCAAGGTGTCAACTATGTCGAAAGCATCCAAAACCTGCCCAAGGCCTAGATCAGGTATCCCCAAGCTAAGGCCATCGATCAGTTCAGAGCAGAAGAGGCGGTCAGCTCCCCCTGACGGTTTTGTCAACAACTTGGACGCTGTTTTTCGACAACAAAATGATGATGACAAATACCTTACTAAAAGAGTCATTCTCCATGCAAGAAAGACTGGACAACTCAACTTGGCAGGGAAGGGACTTGCTACTGGTATGTTACATTATGTCTCTTGCTTGCAATAGGTTTTGTTACCTGACAAGTACTGATCGGTCTACCTTCTTTCCGTTAGTTCCTGCGCGAGTTTGGGCACTAGAAGAGGCAGAAGAAGAAATCAAAAGAATTGATCAAACATTTTTGAAGTCTGAACTAGATGAGCACACTGAAGACGAGGAAGCTGATGTCCGATGGTGGGAGAAAAAGGCTCTTGCTCTGTTAGATCTCAGCTGCAACCATATTGCCATTATACCAGCTGATATTAAAAAGTTAGAGTTTCTGACAACTCTTGATGTAAGTTTGGTTCCTCTGTACTTGGCCTCTCTCCATGCTGATTTTTAACACCCACTCATTCACCCCTATATTAAATTTCAGCTTCATGATAATAACATTGGAGTTCTGCCTGAAGAAATTGGTAGTCTTGGCCGTCTCGAAAAACTGGACCTAAGCCACAATAAGCTTAAAAAACTGCCTAAAAGCTTCTATGACCTGGGAGAACTTAGAGTTCTCTCCCTTGCCCATAATAAAATTGATGAACTCTCAGAAGACTTGGGCAATCTCTATCGACTGGAATCTATTGTAAGTTTCCTTTTGCATCAAATCATTTTGACATTCCATCTTTTTATTAAATATTTATTTTCTCTGCAGGACATATCACACAATGAGCTGTCATCCATACCTCTCGGTATTGGATTTCTCACCGCTTTATTAAAACTAGATGCATCCCACAATCATTTGACAGAGGTACCACCAGAACTGTCCGGCCTTATGGGTAAGATTCATAAAATAATTATTTTTCTGATTTTCTCTGATAAGACCTTTAACAAATTAAATTTACTGCGTGAAAATTTTAATAGGACTTACCCAGCTGATATTAAGCCACAATGAGCTTGGTAGTGTGCCTCCTCTCGGTGAACTGCGTAAACTCCAGCTTCTTCATTTGCAAGACAACCGCTTGGAAACAATGCCTGATGTGGCGACATGTTCATGTCTTCGTGAGTTAAGCCTCTCAGCCAATCAAATCAGTGTAAATATTTTCCCTTTGCTCCATTTCATACACTGAAAGCGTGCTATGTCACCTTTGAATTTTATTATGTTTTGACTTTTTCCGCAGGAGATCTATGGGGAAATGCTTCATCACTTGGGCCACTTGCGAGTCCTCAATTTGCGAGAAAATAAGATCGAACTAATTCCAGAGGAAATGACTCACATGCAAGGACTGGTGCGATTAGACTTGGCCAACAACAACATAGAAGAGTAAGCGCCTACCATACATTGACACTGCCGTCATAAACGCAACAAATTTTATCTCCTTTTATCATTTTGTTTTCTCTTTGACAGCGTGCCGTCGTGCATCGGTTTCTTGCCCCAGCTCCAGATTCTGGCTCTGGAAGGCAACCCCCTGAAAAAGATCCGGCAAGACATGCTGCACTGCGGGTCGGCGCGACTGCTTCGCATGCTGCGCGGCCAGTCCGACCCGAACCAGCAGTCGCCTCGCGCCAAGGTCAACCTGCCTCGCCAGGAGAAGTCTGCCCTGCCGGACAAGTGCGTGGGGCTTGGCGGGAAGCTCTTGGTTGCCTTGGAGACTATGACGGAATTCACGAGAAATGTTGTTTTGTTGTGGCCAGGTATCGCATGAGAGGGAGCCGAGCCTTGAGTCTGGGCATGCAGGGGCTGAAGGAGGTCCCGGAGGCCCTGTTCGACGACGCCGCGGAGGCCGAGGTGGAGTCGGTGGACCTGTGCAAGAACCTGCTGACGGCTGTGCCCCCGAAGTAAGGCAGTCCGCAACGCAGCAACGCAGCCGTGGCACGGCGGGGCCGCCGGTTGCCTACCCGCCGGGCTGCAGGCTCCCTTGCTCAGCGCTCACCGTGTTTCTCTCTCTGCCGTTGCAGGCTGACCGTGCTGGCCGGCACGCTGACGGAGCTGAACCTGAGCGACAACCGCCTGGCCGCCATCCCGGACGGCGTGCTGGGCGCGTGCAAGAAGCTGCACTACATCGATCTGCAGCAGAACGCGCTGTCCGCCCTGCCCGCCGACCTGGCGGACCTGACGCACCTGCGCGAGATCAACATCGCCTACAACAAGTACGTGTTGCTGGTGGTGGCGCCACGGCGGTGCAGAGAGTTACCGAGACGCTGACGTTGTGACCCTGCCGCAGGTTCACCGAGCTGCCCAAGGTGCTGGAGGGCATGCCGGGGCTGGAGATCGTGAACGCGCGCGACAACAAGGTGACCGTGGTGGACGCGCTGCTGCTGGCGACGCTGCCGCGGCTGGCCGTGCTGGACCTGACCAACAACGACATCAACCAGGTGCCGCCCGAGCTGGGGCTGCTGTCGGGGCTGCGCGCGCTCAGCCTGGAGGGGAACACGTTCCGCATCCCGCGCCACGAGGTGCTGGCCAAGGGCACGGCCTGCGTGCTCGGCTACCTCCGCGACCGCATCCCCGCCGAGGAGCTGGCCGCGCTCAGGGCCAGGCTGGCCGCCGCCGCGGGCACGGCCTCGGGGACGGCGCCGGGCATGCTCGTCGACCCGCCGCGCCAGAACAGCTACACGTCGCACATCGTGTTCTAGCGACGCCGTCGAGGTGCGTCCACTTTAATTTGGACCCGAAAACGCGCGAGACGTTTGCCTGGTGACCGCGAGGCCCGCGACGTCAGGTCGAGGGCCTCGCAGCCACGAGCTCACAGACAGCCTTAAAGAAGGCGCCTTCCAAGCGGCGGAGTTGCTATAAGGTCACGCTGCAAACAAAAACAAAACAAAAAAGTTACTCGGGTCATGGGAGTTCAAGTCACATGAATAGTTCTGTTAATCACCCATGCTGATGCACTTCGTACCTGCTATACCTGCTCAGGAAATATGCTTTGCCTATTTTAGCTTGGAATCCCCGTAATCCACTCGTGTGGTGTGTCATGACTTTGTTTGAAATGTCAAAATACTGTACCTCTAGTCCTCTTTTTATGTATACACCATAACACTGGCCTCCAATACGGCTGAATGTGAATGTTTAAACTGCAAATGATTTTTATTTTGCACTGTATTCCAAAAGAAAATAAGCCGATATGTTGCTGTAGGAGTTTTTTTTGCGTTAGTTGTATGGTTTTCTTCAGCCGAACCGTACGAGAACCCAAATGATATTTTATTGAGCGCCGCAACCTGTTGACAACAATTTGTACCTGAATTTCGTTGCACTACAGATGCTAACCTGTCACCACGCGACAGAGAGACAACCTTTACGCGCAGCCCGTTCGACGTGAACGGTGTCTGTGTAGCTTTCCCTTTCTCGTTGAAAAGAAAAGTACTTCACAGAGTGTGGTCCAAAGAAATAAACGTGTAGTTCGCATTTGATGTGCAGCTGGTGCCAATAAGTATATAGCAAGTTTTTAAAAGAAAAAAACAAATTAGTAGATTTTTGAAAAGGAAAAAGACAGTTCCTCCCTACTCACGTACAAACCCAATAGGGATAGAATAGAGTCTATTTTCTTTTTCTGTTATCGCCGTGTTTAGAAATTCGTCTTGTATTTTTAAGGTCGACTTTTTACCATGTCGTATGGGTGCTGGTATAAAAAGATATTATTCTATTGTTTTTATTTTTTGTTTGTTTTTTACTCGTTTTTTTTTGTCTTGCTTTTTAGTTGTGATTATTTTAGTTACCAACGTTAGTACAAATATTATTTTGCTTCAATTTAGGCTTCTTATGTTTATTACTTTTATGTTTGCTTTAGTTTTTCCTTAGCTGTAAGGAAATGATGAAGGAGTGGTGCTATGATTCAGTATTCTAGAACACATTGGATGTTAATCGGAGTGATGATACTGTGATTGATGGAGCTGAAGGGAGATTGAATGAGCCCGTTTTGTGGACTGAGGTTCGTACCCGGCACTTTTTATGTTGTCAATTTTCACGTTTTATCGATATTCTTCTTGTGTCTTTCTCTGTGGAATTCCGCAACTTGCTTTTTAGTCATTATCTAGTACCGCGTTTTTCCTAGTCAAGAGCATATCTGCTAACGGTGTACCTCAACGTTTACATTTTAAGACCTACCTTTATGCATGCTTTACTAGTCTACTCCAGTACCTAGGGCACGGTTGTGGTTTTTTTGGGCTCTATTTCCCGGTAGGCTTATTTTACTGTGTTTTATTGTGGTGTGATGGAAACCTACTGTACCCATAGTTTTTTTCTAGTGTTTTTTAATCACTGTACCTGGAAAATGTCATCTTTGATTATGATTCTGTCGAATTATAGAAAAAGGACACTTCACCAAATGTGTTTCACTTTACATCCTGCAGGCCAGCAAGCTGCAGTGCCCGAAGTCCCCGCCGGGGTGTTGTCAAATTCCCGCAACGTGACATAACGCGACATGACACAATGTCGACCGAACAACGGCAAGGTGACTGCCCTGCCCGCGTCGCGGCCGTGGCGGCGTTGGAGGCATCCCCATGTTTTTTCATGAGTTCCTTGTTCCTCTCCTTGTCCCGGCCGGCGGGTCGGATGCGCCCCTTTTGGCCTTTTTCAGGCTGCAAGCTTGCAAGGCACTGGAAGGGACTGGAAGGGCGCATCGGAACGCAGCCGAGGCGAAGAAGGCGCGGCCGGGCGCAGCCAAGGGCGGGACGCGGCGCGACACGAACGCGCACGCGGCGGGAACAGAGACAAAAAGGAGCATGAGTGCGTGTGTCCTGCTCGAGGTCTTCGAGGCCCTGCCCGCCCTGTTCGTGCTCGAAAACACAGGCGTAATGAAATGCTGCACCGCGTTGAGTTGCATAAAGCGGTCCGCCACGCCCCCGCGGGGGCCCAGGCCCGGGCGGGGCACGGGGGCACGCGAGTTGTCAATTCGTCTGGAGGGAAAACCACCGTTCCGGCCCGCGAGGCGGGGCGACGAAGTACACGCGGTGCATCATCTGCAGTCGTTCGCAGTGTGATGTCTCTTTCTCTCTCTCGCAGCGCAGGCCCCTGCGAGGAACGCCCCGCGAGTGCGAGAGAGACACAGCGACGACGTTCCGCCGTGCCGCACAGTGGAGGACGACTCTGGACAAAGTGGCGCGCGCTCCACCCAAACGGGCCGATCTGTGAATATCACCAAGGCCGCGATCATTTTCGCAAGTCCGGCGGGGCGGGGCGGGAAGTGGCCCGGTGGAGCGGGGAGGCGATTTGCAAGCAGAAGCGACCAGCTACTCATTATTTGCGCATGGCCTGGCAAGGCTTGGCTCAACTGTTGCCACCGATCCACCGCCTAGGGCTCCCCCCCCCCCCCCCGCGCCTTGACTCATCACAGTGCTCGACACGGCGTGTGAACCTATGCCGCCATAGAGACCCACCTGCGCGCGGGAAAACGGGTAAACGAAACGCCACTGCAAGCAACCGCACAAAAAGGGAAACAGATTGGAGTTTGGACGGGTGGAGTAATTGAAATTGGAAATTGCGTGCGCAGTGCGTGCGCGAGGCACTGGGAGGAGGAAGCGGCGCGGGCTGCGGGCGCCGCTGCGGCCCAGCCGCTACACTGCGTTGTCCGCGGCGGCCTTGACACCCGCAGGTGCAAACGGTGCAAGGGCGCCGCTGATTTGGAATGCAGGTCCTGCAGTCCTGCACTGCAGCACCGGAGGCACCGACAAGACTCATTAACTCGCCGAGAAGAAAACGCTGTAAAGCTTTTCGAAACGGGTCATTGTTTTAAGTGATTGTTGTTATTGTTGTTTTGTTCTGTTCTCGCTACCGGCTTTGCTCGCACGCTGGCGTCTCTGCGGCTCGCCTCATCTGTCCGAACCGCTGTGATGACTCTATCAGCGCGCACCTGGGGCAGGGCCGGCAGGGCCCGGCCGGCAGGGCCGAGGTGGCGGCGGTGCAAAATATCAAATTACATCGTGCCGCAGTGCCCCCGCCAGGTAGGCTAGGCAGGCACCCCGCCCCGCCCCGCCTCAGAGGGCTCCATCGCCGACACCCTTATCTCAATTTTGCATCGCGTGGGCGGTCGGGGCCGGGCTGCCGCGCTGCCGGGCGGAGCAGCGCGCTCGACTGAACAGCTCATCGGCTCGGCTCGGCTCGGCTCGGGCGTCCTTACCTTCGGCTGGGCTCGGCTGCGCCCGATCGCGCGGCTCGGCTCGGCTCGGCTCGGCGTTCGGTTCGGCCGTTCGGCCCAGCCTGCCGCGGCCGGCGGCTTGAGCAGCAGGTGACATCACGGGACGCAACTCGATGCGCTGGTGGACGCGGTGCAGCAGGCGGCGGTGGTAGGGGGACCGCGAGTAGTACCCGCGGGGCGGGGCGGGGCGGGGCGGGGCGGGGCGGGGCGCACCCGGCGTCGCTTAAACCACGACGCTCGCGTCTACCTGCCCCAGTCCGAACCGACGCCCCCGCCGTTCACTCTCGCTGCCGACGGCGCCACCCGCGAGACCACGTGTGTGGCCGGCGCGCGCGCGCGCGTGAGTGTGTTAGTGCGTGACCCGATGTGACCACGTTGAAGACCGCACGCGCCACACTGCCTTTTTCTTGTGGCCGGGGCAAAGTCAGAAAAGTGAAACCAAGTTGGCAGCGAATTGTCAAAAATGACACGTGAAAAGTGGCGCGAGTGTTGACGGCGGGCGGAAGCGGAAACAGTTTCGAATCGAAATCGAGTGCATTCACGAAAACGACTGATCGAAGCGAAGCGGCGGCTGAGAGGGAACGACTCGGAGGGAATTCCCCCGCGAAGCAGGCTGGTGTTGAACAGGTAAGCATCAAAAGGCATCTCACTCGTCACTGTTGCTGTACGACGACTAAAAGGAGGACTTGAACGACAGGCTGAGACACAGACAGACAGACAGACAGACAGACAGACCTAGGCGCCGCACTCAGCAAGTACCGCCAACGTTTTTATTCGGCTTTGCGTTTTGCATCCTTGGAGGTCTTTTCCCATTCGTCTAGGAGCTATGACACACGCTCACACACGCACGCACACACACGCAGACCGGGATGACAGGTCGTCGCGGCGGTGAAGGATATGCATAAATAAGACAAACGGCGACATTGTTTTCGGTTTGGCAGCCGTTGAAGGCGCCAGCGCGCCAGCAGGCCAGTCCATGGAGGCAACCGCGACCCTGTCCTTCGTCGCCCTGTCTCTCTCGCACCCGTACGGGCCTACGGGACGCCCCACGAGTGCGAGAGAGACAGGGCGACGAAGAGGGCCTTGGTCGCGGAGCGGACATATCGAGGCGATCGCGCGGCGTGTAAGACAAACGCGCTATTTGTCGTCTGCTGCGCGTCGTCTGCTAAGTGTCGTCTGCTGTGCACCCGGCAATCAGACTCGATGGAGACGCACACGATTCGATACAATCGACACGAGCAATGTTGGAATCACTGTCAACAGTACAGTGTCGCCGTTCGGGGGAGGCTTCCAGCTTCCAGCCCCAGCTCGCAGCCAGCGGCTACTGGGGTACCACTCCATTGACTCGGCCGGTGGCGATTTCAGCCGGAAATACTTTAAAGTAACCCGGTCTGAGTGTTGTGTCGGTCTAGAGCTCCTCTACGGGTCGGAGTGGGTGATCCGTGCGGCCGGGGCCGTCACACGATTAGACGCGTGTTTCCACAAGTGTGCGGACTGCGGAAAACGGGGCCGTTGTACTGCGAAGGGAAGGGAAGTGGGTGCGCCCCTCGCGGTGTGCCCGGCCCGGCGCGGCGTGGCGCGGCCCAGGCCCCAAGTGGAATCCGGAGCGAGAGGGGCCCGTGTGTGCCTTGTGGTCGTTCTAAAAGCGAAAGGAAAGAGGCGAGTGTGTGTGTGTGTGTGAGATTGGAGAGCGGAAGAAGAAAATAAAATATAACACCTCCGCAATGAGGATTTTCCGCCAGCGCCAGAGATTTCTATTAGTTCCGCAGTGAGAAAGGTAAGAAATAGTTCAGACTTTTGGAAAAATTCTTCTGATGCTGGTCCCCCCCCTCTTTTCTCTCTCGGGCGGGACAGAGCACCTCGGTGCAGCAACTGCCGAGGAGCAAATTTTACGACGGCCGCAGTAAACTTGAAAAAAAATGGAGATAAAAATATTTTTTTGCGAAAAAAATAGGAAGATTCGTCTCAATGAAAGGAAGGGAACGTCTCTCCGCTGTGTTGTATTTTTTACTATTTCTAGTTGTTGTTTCTGTTGTCTTTCTTTTGAGAAAATATAGGGAATTTGAAGGCGCATTCGCGTGTCTGGCGCTCGTCTGAACCTTCGCGGCGTCTCGTGAAACGCCTCAGCCATGACACGTGTGATTTGGCGCGAGTTAGCGACCAGCGCGGACCAGCCAGGGACCAGCGCGGGCCAGCGCGCCGGCGGCCGGGACCAGGGTCAGGACGGCAAACAGAGTTCGGGCGCGGAACTTGGAAGCGCAGCCAGCTGTTGACTTGACGGCAGGAAAACCACAATGTAACGATTATCCCCCTCCCCCTCCTTAAAAGTTTGTTCCTTTGATACTAGAAAGTAGAACATCGATCTCGAGCCAAGCGCACGATAAGACAACAGAAGTCTCCAGCAGAACAAGAGTAGAAACTAAAACACACAAATTTGGGATTCATGTAGTTCGCTTGAAAAAAGTTCCCTTTCATTTATTGCGGCAATTGATGCACCGCCGAACGGCCACACTGTTAGGACTGACTTGTTGTGTCGCGTCACTGCACTGCAGCAGGTCCCAATATTCATCAGCATGCCCCGGGCGCGGTGCGTACGGTGCGAGAGAGAGAGAGTATGCGTGAGTGTGTGAGCGAGAGAGGCAGGGCACCACATGCAAATGCACACACGAGGACCACGCCTGCGACTCCCGTGGACCAGCCACACTACACACTGCCAGCGAAAATAGATTTAAATTTCAAACTCTATTTTTTTTTAGAACTCATTTTTTAATCGAGTGAGAGTTTTCACGTAGTCTATTTTGTGCAGGTGGTGGAACGCAGTAAGCAGGGCGAAAAATAAATAAATAGGACGAACTCCAAAAATCTCCAACGCGAAATGTTTTTTGAATGAGGTTGGATTGTATGGGGGTATGGTCCAGGGGCAGTACACACACTGGCCTCTCGACGTGTCACGTCATGTCACACACACGCACACACACACACACACACGCTCAGAAACACACACACGTACGGGCGCTTCAGGTTTCCCCCACAGAACAATGCCATCTCATCGGCGATTCATGCCAAAAACTCAGCAGGGCGGAAGACTTAGCCCTTTGTTTTCGGGTCGCCATTGACTCGAGTTATGTATTGCCGTCCTCGGCTTTGTAACTGAGTTGCCGGCGACATCGGCCTCTTACGTAATAAAGAGGGGAAAAAATTGTTGGAACCTGGGGATTTGAACCAGGGCGCTCAGCGAAAGGTGACCCCGCGCGCTCGGCCATGCGGACAAGTGCATAATGAGTGGCGCTGACAAGCGTGAAACAGGTCGCTGGATGACTTTTTTGCTCCGCACGCTCGCGGCTTGCACACCGAGCGCCCCGCAGTGTCTCACCGGAGCCGCGCCAGACGCAGGCGGCAGGGCGGCACGCGGGCGCCGGCAGCACGTCCCCGCCGTCCGTCCTTGGGGCCTTCTTGTCCTCCAAACGACGACGCGCCGTTTGCGTACGAATGAGCGTGAGGACGATGCTCTGCTTGTGCTTCTCGGGCAACCAGACGGCCGGAGCGGTGACTCAGAGGCGGAGCCGCGAAGCAAGGCCTGCCTGCCTTCCTGAAATGTGTTTTCGGATTTTCGGCGGGCAGTGGCCTGTACAGCCATTTCCGAACAGTGCCCTGTCTCTCTCCTGCCAGGCTGCAGGCCTGCAGTTCCTTTGTCCAGTGCGGACAGGGGACTCCCGCACGCAGTGCAGTGCACAGTGTACGCGCGGTCCTGACCTTCTGCGGCTATCACAGCGGCGACATACACAGTGACACACACAGTGACACAGGGCGAATATGGGTCAGCGACTCCCCTCCCCCCTCCAGCCCGAGCCCCGCCCTTTGGTACCATTTGGCAGTGCGGGCCCTGGGCCAGGCCCGGCCCTTCGGAAGGGACGCCGACTACATTCTTCCCGCCGTTTCCGGGTTTATCGAGCCGAGCCTCTCGTCGCTCTGTCTCTCTCGCACTCACGGCGCGTCCCGTAGGCCCGTGGGGGTGCGAGGGAGACAGAGCGATCAAGTGCGGTTGGCTCGAGGGGGAGGGCCAGGGCCGCCAGGGCGTCGAACGCTACGGGCCTCAGCCACATGCTCAGCCCCATGCTCAGCCCCGCCAGAACCGCCAGGCAGTGACAAAGTCGTGACCGTCTTTCCGTTCGAAACAAAAAATTGTTGAGTGAATGGCGAGAAGTACAGTAGTGATAACGTCCCTTGGCTGCAGTTTGTTGCACCTGTCCTGCTTCGCCTTGACGTGTTTTCCCGAGCGTGCCGTGCCGTGCCGCGCCACGCCACGCCACGCCAGGCGACACTTAACGCACCTTGCCCCGTGACCGTCGCGGCGTCGCGGCGTGCAAGAGCAGTTCGCCGCACGCGTCCGCTAAAAATGGAAAATTTTTGCATAAATTTGCCACTAATTTTCCTTTGGTGAGTGGAGGGCAGGGGTGGGGCTTGCTTTTGTAAGCGCCACGCTGGTCTGCAAGAAAGTGATTTTGATACAAATCTGCTTTGGTCGGTGCGCGCCACGGCACGCCGTCACACGGGGCCGCTGCACTGCGATGCGCCACGATGCGCCGCGCTGACGCAGTCAAGGTCTGTCCGCCTGTCCGTCCGCCTGTCTGTCTGTCCGTCTGTCTGTCCGTCTGTCCAGCCGTCCGCGCCTCGCGACACGTGGGTCTCCTAATTGGAAAACAACGGAAGGGTTCCCGACAGATTGATTCCCGCGACATTATCCCTCTCTTCTTCTGCCCCTTCCGCACATGCACCTGATAAGAGAGGACCCTAGGATTCCCCCCGGCAAGCAGACCCATCTGTCGGCCCCACCAACATGGCGCCACTGCTTTCGCGTATGACCTTTTTTTGTCGTTCAGAACGGAGAATAGCTCATTAGTCGTATGGGGACATCAGTGCGGCGGAGTCGAAGGGCACGCAAAAAGTGAAAGCACACACGCACACACGCACACACGCACACCGACGCGCAACACAACAACAACAGCGACCAGCTGATAGTGCGCCCCGCCCTGCCCCACGCCAGCGGATGCGTGACGTCACAGACGATTTACCGGCGGGACCCGCAGCCGTGCACTTCGGCCACGCTTCGGGTGCTTCGGGTACCTTCGGGTACCTTCGGGTACCTTCGGGTACCCTCGGGCGCCTCGGGTATATACTGCCCCACTAATACACTCGGCAGTCCTCTCGACCTTGTCCTTGCGCGGGAGCAGCAGCGGGAGCAGGACACCGGATGAGACGATAAGTGCCCCTGGCTGTGTTCACACTCCTCCGGCCGTCTGTCTGTCTGTCTGTCTGTCTGTCTGTCTGTCTGTCTGTCTGTCTGTCTGTCTGTCTGTCTGTCTGTCTGTCTGTCTGTCTGTCCGTCGGTGTCCCTGTCTGTCCGTTGTGCCCGATAAATGCTGCAGCCGAACCCCGGCGGTGGGAACCGACTGACCCACTGCATGGGAACGATGGAGCGGCACGCGCGCGCTCCAGTCGAGCCTCGCGGGATGAGAAATTCATCAGGCACTGCCACTTGAGACTACTTGGGACTTCAGTACTTGACAGCGCCGCTGGGTAGGGCGGCGCCACCGTCGCATCCGGTTGGCGCGCTCCGTCTTTGAGTCTTAATCCGGCCATTCGTCGGCACAATGCATATTTCCTCGGAGACAATGCGGCCGACCAGTCGGCGAGTCGCTCGGGTTACGATCGGCGGATGAAAATGCAGCAGTCTGCGGCGGCGGTGCACCGCGGCGTTGCGCAAGCCTCTTTTCCCGCCACAATTACGACCAGGGTCGTTTCAAGGTCATCGCCGGAAATTCTTCCTTCTTTTGCCCGGATTGGGCTTTTGGGTTCGCCGCCACTGGCGCCCTCTGGCGTCCTGCGGAGGCATTACTCTTTCATGCGGCCGTTCTGTTCTCTACGTGTGCAGACTGCCATGCCCGCGGCCGCCTCTGCCGCCTCGGCCGCGCCGCGGACTTCCTAGAGGTCCTCGCTCTACTCCGCGAGGCCCACGAGGTCCACGAGCACCGCGATGACGACGCGGCGCGCGGGCGGCCCGGCGGGCGGCCGCGACGTCCTGGCCGTCCTGCACCGCCCCCTTCTCGCCCTGCTCGCCATGGCGGCGCCCCTGGCGGCAGTCGGCCAGCAGTCCTGCCCGCCGGAGTACGACACGTGGGTCAAGATGACGGCCTTAGTGCCCGTCACGCTGGCGCCGCACTACCGCGTCTTCATGTACGCCAGCCCCGGCAACGCCGTCACCGCCGAGTGCTACAACAGGTGCGTAACCAACGGTTCCAACTTAAGGCGCCTCCATATCTGAAACGGTGCGAGTTACAAGCGCCATGCCAAGGATAACTTACATTCGAAATTCGATTTCCTAAATTTGTTGTCCTATACTTGCCGGCCGTAGCGAGCACCGTCTCGGAGTTACAGGTGAGAATGCGGACTGGAGTCAAATGGGGCTGTTTGTTTTGTTTCCCCCAGGTGCCGCGAGTCGGCGGACTGCCGGGCGTTCCTGGTGGACCACGCTCGCTCGGCGTGCTTCCGCGTCAGCAGGCTGTCGCCCAACTCCTGGGACCAGCCCGGAGACACGCCGGTCACCGCGGCGCCCGCCTCCACCTACTTCGAGCGCGCCTGCATCGACAGTCAGTCCCACAGTTTTCATACAACCCGCCAAAATCTGGACAGTTGATTCATGTTGACTAGACGCAGCACGCTCATGTGAATCTGAATGTGAATCCACAGTGCGCGGCGCGGCCAACCGGTGCGCGGGCCGGGCCTGGGCGGCGGAGAGGGTGCCGGGCTACGAGCTGGTGGGCTGGGACCGCCTCACCATCGCCGGCTCCGTCAGCCGCGCCGAGTGCCTGCAGGAGTGCCTCAAGCCCAAAGGTCGGTCAAAACTGCAGGCAAAATTGAAACACGGACCGGGGATTTGAACCAGCGACTTTGCCCGCAGACGGCTGGGAGTGCCGGTCGGCGCGGTGGGACTCCCGCACCGGCGCGTGCTACCTCAGCTCCGAGGACCGGCGGTCGCAGCCGGACTCCTTCCGCGCGGGGTCCTGGGGGGTGGAGTACCTGGAGAACCAGTGCGCCGAGCCGGGTGAGTACTCGCTCCCTTTTCGAGGACATCGCTTGGTTCGGGTAAATCAACTGGAGTGTTTCCAGTCTCCGCGGCCGCGTCGTGCGCCTACCAGGAGTTCACCAACGTGTCCCTCATCATCGCGGACCTACAGATCACCGGCCTGGACCGGGAGCAGGTACGCCTCCAGGTTCCGGGTTCGACCCCCGTCGCCGGCCCTCACTGACACGCTCCCTCCCTTGCAGTGCCAGGCGCGGTGCGACGCGGAGACCAACTTCCGGTGTAGGGGCTACTCGCTGCGGCCGCCGGAGCCGGGGCGCGGCGTGGCGTGGCTGTGCGTCCTGCACGGCGACGACACCATCAGCGTGGGGCCCAGCGCGCTGTACCCGCTGCCGGGGGCGCTGTACGCGGAGCGCGCCGCCTGCATCGACCGTAAGGGCGAAAGTCCTTGGTTCGACCCCTTGCGACCGAAAGCGCCCTGTGCCAAGCAGTCCTTGTTGCTTGCAGTGCGCGTGTCGTGCAGCCGGCGCGTGATGACGGTGACGCTGCAGTCGGCGGGGCCCTTCCAGGGCCGCCTGTTCGTGATGGGCCGGTCGGACTACTGCGGCGCCGAGGGCCGCGGCGCCACGTCCACGTCGCTCACCCTGCCTCTTGACCCGGACCCCAACCCGCCCCGCCTGCCCGGGCCTGCCGGGCCCGGCGTCAACGAACGCTGCGGCCTGCGCCTCGCCAGGGCCTTCGGGGAGACCAACCGGTAAGCGCCTGTGAAACCAAGGATGGGCCAGCCCGCAACGCACGGCGGGGCGGCGGGGCAGTCTACCTCCCATTACCATTACCATTAAGGGCTAGACCACACATGATCGTATGCCATTTCGGGCCCGACACATGCCCGCCTGCACTGCAAAACGAGACATGGCCGTCCTTACTAAGGTGACACTTTATCCCGGCGGGGAAGAGCCCAGGCGCCTGCCCGCCAAAACTCTGAACGCGTTTTAAGCTCCAGAGGCGCTAAACAGGACTCGAACCGAACGTGTGACCCCACCAATGGATTCCTCGTTCGGAGAGCAGCCCATTGGTGGGGTCACACGTTCGGTTCGAGTCTTGTTTAGCGACTCTGGAGCTCAAAACGCGTCTAGAGTTTTGGCCGCCTCCACCGGCCTTCTGGCCCACTCTGCCGCGGCGCTCTACATTCTGCTCTTCCGGCAGGACGCTGGTGTCTGCCGTGGTGGTGGTGCAGAGGAACCCCATCATCCAGACGCGGGGCGACCGCGCCGTGCGCGTGGGGTGCATCCTGACGGGCGAGGACAACCCGCCGCAGAACCTGACGCTCGGCGCGAGCATCGCCGTGGCCAGCCCGGAGTGAGTACGCAGTACGCGCAGGGCCTCCACTTCCAGTGCGCGCTCCTCTAGTGACCCGGCGACTGCCTTATGCCAGGGTGGAGAACAACGGCACCGCCATCCTGAACGTGTCCTCGACGGCGCCGACGGTGCGGCTGCGCATCACGGACCAGTCCGGGCGCGAGCAGCCGCTGCACGAGACGCAGCTGGGCGACACGCTGCAGCTGCGCGTCGACGTCACGCCGGACTCGAGTCCCTGGGGGGTGCGCGCCACGCACTTGGTGGCCAGCTCGGCGGACGGCCAGGACTCGTACCTGCTGCTGGACTCGCGGGGCTGCCCGCCGGACCCGCACACCTTCCCGGGGCTGCGGCCCGTGCAGCCGGGGTCGCGGTCGCTGGCGGCCACCTTCAGGTAGGACGAGGACCAGCACGTGTGCGCCGTGTGCCGCCATGGTGCCGTCGCCACGCTAACGCCTTCAAACGCCCCCAGGGCCTTCAAGTTCCCCTCGTCCGCGCTGGTGCGCTTCGGGCTCAAGGTCAACTTCTGCCGCGGGGGCTGCGCGCCGGTCAACTGCGGCGCGGGCATCCAGTCGGGCGGGCGGCGCCGGCGGGCGGGCTCCACCTTGGCGCCGACGCCCTTCACCACGTCCACCACGACGCCCGCCGCCCTCGCCGCCGCCGTGCCCGAGGACGTCGAGTTCCCCATGCAGCTGGCCATCGTGGTGCACTCGCCCCGCGTGGTGGCCGCGTCGGCCGGCAGCGCGGGCAGCGGCATCATCACGCTGGACAACGGTGAGCGTCACGGCCTCGTCCGCCTCCTCCGCGCGCTCGCCCGGCGTCACCAATGGTTGCTTTCCCGCAGTGAACGGCGCGGACCCCGCCAGCCGGGCCGACGACACCGTCTGCATGTCCGGCGGCGCGCTCGTGGCGCTGGCTGCCGGGGCGCTGCTTCTGCAGGCCGTCATCCTGGTGGTGTGCTGCGTGGGCGCGCGCCGCCACATCAAGAACCACATCAAGATGGAGCAGCAGGCCTACACCAACCCGGCCTGGACCGCCGCCGCCGAGGACCGTCGCGTCACGTGGGCCGATCAGTGAACAGGTACACGTGTGCCATCGAGGTGCAGGGGGTGGAGGTGGAGGGGTGCAAATTTTTCATTGCGAGTGTGCGGTTTGAATCGACGTTGTTTGTGAGGAAAGGGACGCTCTGGGGTGAGTGAGACTCGCTAACATAGTTAACAGTATTTATTTCATTGACTATTTATCATTTTTTGGTACCCAAACAAAACATTGAAACACGATCGTAAACGTTTTCATTCGTTCAAAAAAAAGACACACTGGAAGAAATAAGAAGGTTTTAGATGTTTTTTTTTGTTTCGTAAAACTCGTATTGAATGTACTTCATGCTCTCGTTCTTACAGTTCTCTAGTGCTCTCAGTTTCACTCACTCTCACATTCTCGTCTTTCAGCTGCTACGTTCCAACAATGTGCGATCATTAACATGGCCCTAGGGGTTGGGCTCTGGTCAAAAACAAGAGTTTTACAACCGCTACATATATACATAATGGGACATTTTTATAGGCTACGTGTGGAAGTGGATCACTCACCAGTTTAATTTCAAATAGCGCAATTTTAATTATAGTATTCACATCAACAAGTGAACGCTATGGTCAGCTAATTAAAAAAACACGTACATCCCGCGGACCACAAACACTAAAACAATGATTTTCAACAATACGAACAGAAAGAACACTCTTGGTTGCCATAGTTACAATTCCAACAAAGCGGTTTTGCCCGTCTACAATCCTCACAAACACAAAATTAGTGCTAACTCTTAAATACATATTCCTTTGAGGAGAAAAATAAATAACAAATGCAACCAATAATTTAATATTCAAAATATAATCTGACTTAACAATAATATCTGTTTTCGCTTGATATGTAGCCACTCGTTGCCGCGCGACTGAAACCCATCAAGTCCTTCATATGTACAGATTACCACGCCAGAGGGCGCGACCGACGCTCTTTCGTCACTCCCCTCCAGAGGATTCTGTCCTCCAGCCAGCCAGAGGTTGCGGAGGGGAGCGACGGAAGAGGGGCAGCCCTCCAAGTCCCTCGGCGTGCCGGTGATATTGGTTACTAACGGCAGACTACCCTGGATGGAACAAGCTGTTAGCTCGCTCGACGTCGAACGCACATTCGTCTGCGCGACAAAGCCGCATCGACTCTAGTTCCGGTCTTTTGGATCCACGCAGACGCCCGTCTGTTCGATGTGCTATTTCTCACTAGGATTGGCGCAAGGGTTCTACGGCCCTGCCACGCAAACCACCACCAAGCGGCACACAAACTCAGCACCACACGAGGCAGGTCGGCAACCTAACAAATGAAACATCAACAGTAAAACTTAATAAAATTTCAACTTAACTGTCTCAGAAATCAACAAACAACGTAATGAATTTGTAATAACTGTTATTGTCAACGGATAGCTCCAACATAAGCTGCGACTGAAGAGTGAGAAAAAGCACGAAAATTCCATTCACTGAGTCACTGAGACCATCTTGTCGTCTGCACGGTGTGTAGCAACCCGTTGGAATAGTAATACTGAAGACATTTACATATGACTACTCAATTCTATCCGATTACACATATCAGAGAAGAACCTACCTAAGAGGTTACACGATCCCGAGCGCGGTACCAAAGAATCCTTTTGAAAAAAGTCCGTACATTTAAATTTTAAATCAACTCACAAAACCCGCCGCGTGATCTATTTTCCAAAACAGTAGAGATACTTAATTCGGGAGACATGCTTAACGTACTCAAAGCAAGCATGAATTAGTGACCACCGTAGCGCAAACGAATTCGAGATCATTTCCATGCTTCCAAATACCCCAAACACCTCTAGTAAGCTACCAAATCATGCCTGCTCATCTTTACATACATCTCCTTATATCGACTCCTAACAATAATACATGTAATGTAAAGTATTTCGTATGTTGCCTGTCGAACATCTAAAGATCGAAGAAATGATGTCCTCTATCGAGTAAAGCAATTAATTAAAAAGTCAAAATTGCAAGAGGCCACACTTTACCACATCTTGCACGAGTTTAAAGTTATTTCTTTTAGGAAAGTGGAGCGTCTTTTTATTTTTTATGAAAACGCCGGTTGGAATCCCATTTTTTTAGTGTCCTTTCTTTTTATAGACGCTCCTGAACAAGTCTTTCTGCAAGTAGCGGGAGTAAAATTAGAACAAGTACTTGAAACAAGCATCAGTATATGCCTGAAAATTTGCGCAAAGTTGAAAGGGGGACGTTTTTTCTACTAAGACAGTCAGGGAATAGAAAAATAGCTTCTCGAGAGATGCTTGTTGCCCGGGAAGAAACCAAAAACTAGCTCGTAAAGGCTGCCCAATGGTAGAAAAGTTGACGAAGAAGGCGAAATTAAAAGTTAACTAGTAAACAAGTAAGAGGCCGTGAAGGCCACTCACATTCAAGATCACACACTTTAAGCTCAAAGTGCGTTTCCTCACACACAGACACTCCCAATCACACACATTGACACAATGACGCATACACACACAATTTTCACACATACACACTCATTCACGCATTTTTTTCACAACACAGATATAACACGCACTCGCGCCTCGGCGCTCAAAGCACAAAATTTCTACAGTATATACATAAAACATTGACTTTTTGTGTTAGTGCCTCTGGGCATTTTACCGAAGAAAAACAAGAAATTATTCACAAATACAAAACTTTATGAATGGTCACACGATCTGGCAACTTGGGGAAGCAAGGGTTGGAACGTAAATAGGTCTCGCAGAGCGAAGCTCTAGAATTATCAAATTGAAAACTTTGCCCGGCGACTTAAGTAGTCTGACCATATAGTACTTTTAGCTCGCCACGGGTCTTTTCTTTTTAAGTGTTGTACGTAGTAGGAACAAGAAATGAGGAAGTTAGAATTTAACGTTAATTGATGAACGAGATGCCTTTCTTGTTTCGTAAGAACGCACTCGTGGATCGGGAACTCCGTGCGCCACGAATGAGTAAAAAGAAAGGGAGAGGCAGTCAGGCCTCGAGGGACACCTCAGAAGCTACACCGAAACAAAAACGGCGCAGGACATGCCAAAAAACAGAAACTACTTTAAACATTTACCGCGGGGTTTTTGTTCGCCGCGCCTGAAGGCTGAGCTTAGCCGGGAGGCCGGAGGGCGGGTGGATAGAGTCTTCCTAAGTTGCCTCTCGAAACAAAATGAAGTTGCATGAGTTGCATCTGCACTGCGTCACACCGCAACTTAGCAGTTGCAGTTGGGGTTCTGGGGTCCCTGGGGTCCCTGCTCCGTCAGTCGGGTTCCTTTACTGCCTGCGTTCATCAGGTTGGGGTCCGAGTCCAGGCTCTCGGACATCTTGTCGCAGATGATGTCCACCAGACGCTCGAACACAGCCTGCGCATCAAGAGGTTGTCAGCCCAAATTTGCGTGCTCCACCAAGTCTGGAATCCCTGGCTGTTCCTTACCTTGACTTTGATGTTCTCCTTGGCGGAGGTCTCGAAGAACTCAATGCCCAGCTGGTCGGCGAGCTGCTTCCCCCGCTCGAAGGATATCACCCTCTCGTCCTCCATGTCGCACTTGTTGCCCACCAGCACGACCTGCGCGTTGTCCCAGGAGTAGGTCTTGATCTGCGTTACCCTGGACAGAAACACACTCGTTGCAGTGCAGCCAACTCTCCGAAAGCCAATCAGTGCTGCCAGTGCGTGCGGAACTGCATGCCAGAGACCCACGTCAGAGTTGCCAACAACTCGGCGAACTCGCCCCCACACTGCCAGCCGGCCACTGCTCGTTAATAATTTGGCGGGGCTGTCTGACCATGTTCTCTCTGTCTCCAGGGGGTCGGCTTACCAGTCCTGCACACTGTTGAAGGACTCCTCGTTGGTGATGTCGTACATGAGGATGAAGCCCATGGCGCCGCGGTAGTACGCAGTGGTGATGGTGCGGTAGCGCTCCTGGCCAGCGGTGTCCTGCGGAAAGGAGTGCAACAACTCAACGTCCGCCTCCGAGGAAGAGACTGCACTTCGCTTGCATACATCGATTGGAATGATTTCTGTTGCCGACAGTGTGTTACATTGTTTGGTGTCACTGCCGTTTTGTACATATTTTTTGCGTGTGATAGAGACTAAGGAACGAAGTTACCCGCCATACTAACATAAAAAACTAACTAATTTTTTTTAAAAATCAAAACTCGGTATAGCCATTAAAACCAAAGATCCAAAGTTAAGTCATGGTTTTCTCGTTCATTTCAAATAACCCCGTCCTGGGAGGTACCGCCTGTACGGGATGGCGCCTGACAGGTAGGCAGTCCCGGATGCATCGGTGTTCCCCGGGACAGCATACCCACACGGCGTTCGCGGAAGAGGACTCAAAACAAATCAAACTTCTCCGCGATGGTGCGACTTACCCAAATTTGGAGCTTGACACGTTTGTCGTGCCGGAATACTGTCTTCACTTTGAAGTCAATTCCTACGGTTGACACGAACGCCGAGGTGAAAGAGTCGTCGGCGTACCGGAACAGGAAAGACGTTTTGCCCACCGACGAGTTGCCGATGATGAGCAGTTTGAACATGTAGTCGAAGTTTTGGTCGGCAGCATCTTTCTGCCACTTTGGATCTTGGCCTGCCATCTGAAAAGCAGAGCACAGAGTGCGGGGGGTTACTGTCACGCTCGCCGATCGGATCGGACGCAACGAGGACAAGGGACAGGTTCCAGCCACGGAAATGAAAAGATAAGTACGAGCCCGGAAACAGGCGCGGGGGGCTTGCGCGAGGCTTGCGTGACGTTCGATTATTTTCCGAGGCGGTTCGAGTTCGAGAGCCTCCCCGCCCCGAGCGAGGCACGACCGAGGCACGACCAAGGCACGACGCACGCAGGACTGTCCCCTCCGGTCCCCTCCGACCAGCACGCAATCACACATTCCACAGGCTGCCAATAATGACGCACAAAAAGTTGCTTGCGCGGATAGGGAGACAGACGGCGCGTGGCGCGGCGGCGCGCGGCGGGAGCGCCCGGAATATAGGTCAGTGGGTCAGGGCTGCCTCCAGCGGGGCCTCCTCCAGCGGTGCGTACGCTGCAGAGGGTCCCAACCCCGACGGCCCGACAGCCCGACGGCCGAGGGGGTCGATCCCCACGCTGCAGCTCTGCGAAGTCGGTCCCCGAGAACCCCATGACAGCGGGCAGGGCCGCGCCTGGTCGCGCCTCCTGGGCGACGACATCGACGCCATGCGGGCTGGCCAGGGGTTCGTAACCTATCGATTCGCGGCGCTCTGTCTCCAGAGTCGCAGGCTGCGCGATGCACCGCGGGGTGGCGAGGGTCAGACTCCGGGTTTGGCGTGGAGGTGCCTCCTGGCGGTGACACTCGCTGCGGACGAGGACAAGGGAGGTTTCCTGGAATGTGCTTCGGCCTGTCCCTTGCGAGCGCACAGGTGGCGGTGTCATTCGCCTCCAGAGCGTCAGTGCCGTGTCCTGGCCGCGCAGACGAGCGATTTCGTGCCCCCGCCGCCGCCCCCCGCCCCGCCCCCTCCCCCACGCCCCCGCGTACGCCCACGCGGCCCGCCGAGCACGGCACGGCACGGCACGGCACGGCAGGGCGGGGGCGCGATGGTATCGTGTTTACAGCGCTGTTTGACGCGCGCGGGGCCGCGGCGACACGCTTTACACGGACCCACGCACACACGACGGCCTGCCCCGGGGCGTCGTCGGCCACCTGGAGGCTGCCGTCGGCCGCCACTAGGTTGCCGTCGTCCCAAAACGGAAAGTGATCGGAGGAATGGCTGCAGAGGCACTAATCGATACCGACTCGTCCCTCGGGCCTCGGGGCGGACAACACGGGCGGGCCTAACGTGGCGCCTAACGTCGACGGCGACCTGGGCAGCCCCGCTGGCCGCGCTGCCACGGCGCCGCGGGGTGCCACAGTGCGACGGCGGGGTGGCGGCCGCCCCCGCGCGCACCTGCACGCCGCCAGCGCGCACGGCCAGGGCGGCGACGGCCCCGCGGACACGACTCCGCTCCCCGTTCACAGTCACACGCCGCGGCCACTACACTCGCTGACTCGGCCGCACCCGCTTACCTTGTTAAAACGGGGCTACTCCACGACTAAAAGCCAAGCACGTCGCACGTTCCGCGGGCTGGGGCGACACGAGCGAGTGCCCAGTGCTTCTCCGTCCAACTGGCAACGTCGATCCAAGATGGCGGACGCGCGGACGCCTCAGCACGGCGAGCACGGCGAGCACGGCAGCCAGCGCTCTGTGCACGCAGGGCCTGGCCTGGCGGGGCTGGCTGGGCTGGCTGGCCTGGGCCTGGCCGCCTCGCTGTGCCGCCGCCAGGGGGCGCGTCGGTGCGCGCGCACGCCGAGGGGTGGCTGCCTGGGGGCGGCTGGGTGGCATGGCCGGGCGGGGGCGACGGGGGCGGCGGGGGCGGCGGAGGGGTGGCCGAGGACGGCCGCCACTTCTATGACTAATTCGCCAAGTCAATTGAAGACGACAATAAAAATGATGGCGACGCGGAGTCGAGGACCGAGACAGGGCTCTGCAGCAGACTGCCCCGACGGTTGCACCCGGACAACCAATCGGACAACCAATCGGACAGCCAATCGGGCCATCGCGACGCCGCCCTGCCTGGCCCTACCGCCCGGTCGTCCGGAGCTCAGGAGGACAAAGGAGCATGAGGGGTGTCAAACGGGCCGGACAGGGCCTCCGTGGAGCCCCGACAGGTGTGAGCCTCCCACACTAGTACGCCGACAATCCCTTTGTGGGGGAAAGCGGAAAACGCGGCGCTCCTCCACCAAAAAGGATTCACCAGTCTGATTCTAAACGCTGTCTGTCTCTCTCGCACTCGTGGGGCGTGCCCTAGGGGTGCGAGAGAGACAGAGCGAGAGTGGCGCGGCGTAGATTCGCGGCACGTGGGAGCGGAGCGAGCGGAGCACGCGCACGTCCGAAACCACGGCCAGCATCAGGACAACAAGGGCTGATTCCCAATCGGTGCTCTGTCCCTCTCGCTCCCCTGCGGAACGCTGCGGAACGCTGCGGAACGCTGCGGAACGCCCCCTGAGCGACAGAGAGGGAGACAGAGCGACGAAGCTCCGCGTCGGAAATCAGCCTGCTAGCACATTTTGGGTTAGGTACTTGTGGCTGGTGTGAACGGGAGAATAATCAGGGAGAGGGAGGGGAGAGGAAGAGAGAGAGAGAGAGGTTGCGCAGAAGCTAGACACGTTGGGACGTCGGGCCGCGGGGGAAGAACAGGGACGAACCATAGGGGTGGCCTGTGGCGGCCTGTGGCCTGGGTCGGGGTGGGCGGTGGGTGGTGGATTGAGCGGGTGCTGGGCGAGAGGGGGAAAGGTGGGGGCTACACTGTGGAGCGCCTAGCGCGTGGCCCGCGTGGCGTGGTGGTGTGTCCGGGTGGGTCGGTGGGCTGGAGATGGGCCACTAGGGGTGGGCCAGGTTGCGGTGGGCCTACGGCAGGGCGTGCGGTTGCATTGGTCATGGCCTAGATGGCCTGGATGGCCTGGATGCTGGCCGGGCCGGGGCGGCCGAGGGGCAGCAATCCCGCCAGCACTCAACATGCTTTATGCGTTACCACCACACTGTCTGCCCGGCCCGGAGTGTTGCCGGAGCCGTCTCAGCTGATCCCTGCGTACGTGGCCTGGCCGGGCTTACACTGTGAACCACAAAAATGTGAACACCACCACCCCCTGACGGCGCAAACGACCGAAGATTCGGCGACGAAAACAAGGACTCCGTTGGCAGGCGCCTTGCCGTGGGCGTGGCAGCGTGGCAGCGTGGCTAGGGGGAAGGTGGGCACCGTGGGCTTGGCCGTGGGCGGTCGGGGAGTCAGCCAGGGCGAAAAGACAGTCTCGGTCAAAACGACACCACTCTCGGCTCGGCGGGGAGTGTACTAGGTGTCGGGTCAGCCACCTCGTCTCGTTTCGAATCGGTTAGGGGTGGCCGAGGCGTTGCGGTAGGCTGGCTGGACTAGCTGTACGCGCCGTGGGGCCCCAGCGGGCCGGGCCTGGCTTGCCTGGCCTGACTTGCCTGGCCCCCCGTGGGGTCCTGAGCCGGGCGACGAGCCGTTCGCAAGGGTCGCCTCGTCGTCCCTGTCGCACCCTTGTGCCCCGTGGGTGCGGGAGAGACAGAGCTCTGCCGAATCGCGGCCGACGGAGCAGCCCAGGCCAGCCTAGGCCACTTTGCCAGTCCTCGCCGCTCATTACAGCCTATCGGAAGTGACAGAGAAAGGCACACCCTGCCTTCTCTCTCTCTCTCTCTCTCTCTCTCTCTCTCTCTCTCTCTCTCTCTCTCTCTCTCTCTCTCTCCCTCTCGCTCTCGTATCGATTCCCCACCCCAGCCCCCTCGGTTCATTCATGCCGCGAACCGCCCCACTCCAGCAGACCGATTCCGAGACTCGTTTTGGTCGCTCCGTCTCTCTCGCACTCACACCGGACGCCCCGTGAGTGCGAGAGAGACGGAGCGACGAGAGCGGACGAAAACGGGCAGCGAAACAGCGGAGAATAGGTGGCGGACGCGACGCCCACGACGCGGACGGAGAGGACGGGGAGCAGGAGGAGGGGGCGAGGAACGAGGGGAAGCAGAGGATCAAACCATCAAACCGCGCTGCTCTCGAAGTTTGTTGCGGAAGGAAGCGAGAGACGGCGAGAAGCCCCCCTCTCGATTTGCATAGTAGCGACGTCGCGCTCCTCAAAAATTCGCCGGTGCTCTGCTTGGCGGTCGCACCCCGCCACACTGGAAAACTTACGCGGAGAAAAGGAAAACGCGCTCTACAGTTGAGAAGATCCTGACCTGGACGCTTTCCAGGTGTGCCTGCAGCCCCACGGGGAAGTCCACCAGGGACATGAGCCGAGCCGAGCCAGCCCGGATATCGAACACGTGGTCTGCAACACGGAAACGGAAACACCGAGTGGAGTGGCCAGCAGAGCTAGCAGAGCGCGCAGCAAAGGAGCAAAGTTGGGTGGGGTGGGGTGGGGGCGATGCAGTGCACCCTCAACGAGAACAAATCGATCAAACATTCAGGCGCCAGTCTACTCCTGCAGCAGCAAGGCTCACAGACACGCACGTCTGGAGCAGCCCCTGACGCACGCGCAAACCTAACCTAACCTGCCCTCAAGTGACCCACCCCGCACGCGCAGGACGCGCAGGCAGCACGAAGCGACGCGAGGCTATTTCCGAGCACTTGCTCTGACGCAGGGGCAGCTGGATGGGGTCGCTCCGTCTCTCTCGCACCCCTGCGGGACGCTGGAACGCCGCGCGAGTGCGAGAGAGACGGAGAGACGACAGCGCTCTCCAGAGAAAGCACCAGGGAGCCAATACAGTGGCTGCTCCCCGGTCGCCAATCACAGTCCATGTATGGGATGTATCGGAAGCCGGAGGGGGGGGCATCAAGAGAGCGCCCCTCTTTGAAAGCGTTGGAGGAAGGGGGAGCCACGACACCCAAAGCAATCCCCACTTCACTGTCGCCTCGCCGAGTCTCCAACGGCGAGGGGGCGAGGGGTGGGGGTGTAATAGCGACATCGGCGTGTCCGGCGAAGAAGAACGGCGCCCTGGGATGAAGGCCCCGGAAGACAGGCGCTGCTCCCCGACAAGCAGCACGCCGTCCACGTCGTCTGTCCGCTCGGCGCGTGGACATGGTAGCACGCCGCCGTGCCGCTGGCCACGCCACAACACCACGGCCTGGCTAAATAGCTAGCTGGGCAGCCACCGCCGCCGGCCTGCCTGACCCACTTGTTGACGTGGAGGTGCGGGTACTCGCTGCTCGCCGACGCGGACGCCGTTCAACACGTGGCGGCGCCGGTACGGGCCGCGGCCACCGAACTGCAACGACGCCGCGTTTTGGTTCTGCTCCGCGGAGTGTATTTTTGCAGTCGACGACGACGAGGGCGACGAGGGCGGTGAGGGCAGCGTGCTGGCGTGTTTCGTTCCGGCCGGTTTGCACGTTTGCACTACTTGATCCGACGCGCGCCGCTACAAGCACGTCCTCCGCTTGAGGAGCAGGCCGCTGCCTCGGCCGCCTCGGCGCGGGAACCTGGAGGGAAGCGACGGCCAGGTCACCGACACTGTTATTCTCCTCGGGACACCTTGCACGACCTTTCCCCTTGATCCGCCCCCTCACGGCCCGCGAAGCGCGAACCTCGATCGCCACGCCCGCCACGCCCGCGGCCAGGGAGGGACGGAGTGTTTCGGCGGAGAGAGAAATAGAACAAAATACAGTGGAAATTGAATTATGGGGCGTCGCCCTGTAACGCGAGGGCGAGAGAGAGGGAGAGCGAGGGGGCGGGGAGGACGGTTCGCGCCGCCCCGACGCTTTGCCGATATTAGACTGACTCCGGAAGATGAAAGAGTCGGTGGAAAATAAAGGGAAGTAAAGCTCATCGCGCGGCAGATACCGCACTGGAAAAAAGGGAGGGAAAGTTTGTTGCGCCTGGTTCTCTTGGTACAGCGAGCAAGTACAACCTCCTCGAAGACTTCGAACCAAGAACGAGTTCGGAAACGGCAGAAACACTGTTTTTCAATTGCTTTGACTTGAAATTCATACCGCATGCTCGGAGTAATCAACAGCAAAGTGTTTGTTCCTATGAAAAATTCTCGCTTCGAGGATCGAAAGGTTGTTCGCTGTTCCAAAACTTGTAATCACTGGTACGAATGTTTTTCGCGTGCACCACGACGACGACGTGCCCCGAGTCCACGCGCCAGTCCTCCGCCAGGGCGGCGTCGTCGTCGGCGCGAAGGACGCGCAGCCAGCCAGTGTAGCGGTCGGCGTCGTTCGTTTTACCCACCGGTAGGCCTGTTCATGAGCACACCACTGCTTGACGAGCACTGCGATCGTTGTCGTTGTCCTCGTCGGCCTGCTGGCACAGCGCGGCACAGCGTCGCACGCCGTGTGCACACACCGCAACAGCTGCCACAAGTGTCCCGCCGCGCCGCGCCACGCCACGCCCGTATCCGCTGCCGGTTCAGTTCGGCGAGGCGGATCCAGGGCGACGGGGAAGGGGGGAGGGCCCTTGGGGGACTCTAGGCCGAGGGTCGAGGCGCCTGCAACGCGGCGATAGGCAACCGCCCAGAAGCAGGACGCCGAGGTGCGCCGGGTTGCCTACGCCGTGCTCTGCAGGCGGTTCGGGGTCGCTGCCGCGGGCACCGCGTGCGTGGCGCAGGACCAAAGTTCACACTTTCGAATTCGATGATGAGTGGTTGTTTGAAGGCAGTGTCGCCAGTATTTTTCTGCATTTTCTTTTTTTGGCCGGGTGAGGGCAAGGACCGGAGTAGGCCGGCCCACTGATAGCCACAACGAGTCGGGCCCGCTCGGCTCGGCCCGGCCCGTCCGGCAGCGGTAGCGATGTGTTGACGGTGGTGACTCGCCGTGAGTGGAGTCCTAGGACTCTAACAGGGGGGAGGAAGCGAAAACAAAGTCACCTGTCCAAATATATTGCCTTTATTGGCCACAATTTAGGGCCACATGTATAAAACGTTTGAGCAATCGCATTGCAACCACATTTAAAAAATACACTTTTAAGTGTAAATACGTCACTATGTAAATACACAAAGACACACAGGCACAGGAACAACTTGAAATTGGAACATTAGTTACAACAAATTACAACAAATAGTTGAAATCGGAAGACAATGACATTCATAAGAAAGGCTATGGCGTCAAGAAAAGCTATGGCGTCATCTTGTATCACATGGAAGTAAGAATGGGCCCTTGAACTCATCCACACGTCAAAATGGTGAATTAAGCGTATATCATTAACATTGGTCATTTCAATTTTGTCAGTTTCATTAGTTGCTAATCAGTTCTTTGACACACTACTCCTGAGTACTCTCCTACTGCTCTCCACGGTCAAAGCCTCCTGAATTTTCTTTTCAGAATTCACCTCATCCTTATGAAGGCTTGAGGGACTGCTGGATTTTCCCTTGCTTCTTGAGTTTTCTAAAGGAATGTGTTCTCCAACACTAGGTGAACACAAACTATTACCCTTTTGATTTTTGTTTGCTTTTAAGATTCTCGGTTTATTTTTTCCTTTAGGAGGAATTTTTGGAGGACTTGAAGGCTCTCCTCTTTTGTCAACAGGCCTGATACCTTCCGCATCACAGGATGAGTTTGATCTGGTACGCTTAGTAGTTTTCTGTCCTTTTGAGACAATCTGCTTTGATTTCACTTTAGAAGGTGACTCTGAAGGATCTTCATTCTTCATAATTTTTGTGACGATAGAGTTGGATTCAGCATTAGACGCAAGACTTGAAACACAAGAACCACAAATAAAATTAGAGATAGTTTCGATGAAAATTTGTTTGTATCAACTTGTTGTGCCACTCACCTGTTAAATGGTGCATTCCAAACAGTTTTGGAATAATGCATAGCTAGGCCACGAACTGACTTTGGCTGTTGAATTTGCACTCGACGTAAGTCAAAGTCCTGGTCAACCCGAGAGACGATTTTTAATCTGGAAAGTAAGTTATCTTTCGTAAACAACTAGAACAGAAACTTTTTTAAAACAGTATTTCAAATATTTTGTTTACCTATGTTCTTCACTTGTAACATACATATCATCGGGCTGGTGATACATATTGTGGACCTCATAAGCTCTTTTATTGCAGAACACTGCCTCACAAATAGTGCAACGAATGATTTCAGTTTCCAGCCCAAAGGATGTATCTTCAGCAGCATGTCTAACTTCTAAATGCTTTCTCAAATTAAATTTGAGAATGTATTCTGAGCCACAAAGGTGGCAATAATAAACAGAATCTGCTTCACCAGCATTGTTGAGCCTTATTTTCTTACTTGGCGGAGGAGTTGCTACGGGCCTCAAAACTGAATCAACCCTTAGAAGAAAAAAAAACAAGAAGGACAAAAAGACAAATGATTAAAAAAATCAACATAAAACCTTGCACCAGCATGTGACTCATCTTAATCTTTTAAATGCAAGAAATAAAATTCTACCTCTTGTGGGCTATCTTGGCATGATAACTCAAAGCAGCCTGGTTGAAAAATTCTTCACCGCAGTTTGCACATCTCACAACATTTTTAGGGGCCGTATTTGTATGTTGGTTTGCTACATGATTGTCAAGAATAGTCTGGAGACGGGAAAAAATACGGCAGGCTTGGCATTAGAAATAAGCAGTGACAGCATATAAAAATATTAGCTAAACATTTCTTGAGCTTATACCTTTAATGGAAAGTGTTTTCCACAGTGAGAGCAGAAAAATTTGGAGGGCTGTTCAGGATGAGCCTTCCATCTGTGACTAATGGCCTTAGCAACATTTTCAAACGGCAGTTCACAAACATCGCATTTGATTGGTTGCCGTGAGCCGGAAGACAAGGTTTTCTCCGATGCAGCAGAGGGCTTTAGCAGACTCAAAGGAGAACGTGGTCCTGTTTTCTTAGTCGGCAGCTTGACTGGCTTGAAATTGGGCACGCTAATATCTTTAGCAATGGGGCAACCTTTACTGTCAATCTCCTTATTGGCATGTTTCCTGTTGGAAGAAAACCAGAACAAAAACTCATTACAAGGTCACAGTGTAGAAAGGTTAATTCATCGGAAGATATTCGTGGACTATCTTGGCATTAAACAAATGTAAACAAAGTCACATGAGTGTTAAACCTTGCGGCAGAAAATTTGAACTCACCGAAAATGGTCTTTTAAAGCCTCTTTCGTTTCAAGCTTCGCATTACAAAGTACACATGTTTCCTGTGTCATAATAAAATAAATGCAATAAATCTGAAATCAAAAGAAAACAAGTTTTGTCTTAATGATTCTGTCAAATGAGATAGGGCATGATCAGGTTCCTTCACTTACGTTGAAACGGACAGTAAAAGAAAAACATATACCTAAGGTCCAACACTGTGGATAATCAAAGCATTTCAGAAAACGAAAAGAGGATTTGGATCCACGTTTGTTTGGACTTTCGGTTTCAGTTTGTTGTTTACTACTGGCTTGAGTATCGATAGTTCGTTTCGAGAGGAGAGCGAGATTCGATACTGTGGACTGGCCAACCCAAGAAAGCCGAAAGATGTCCTCGTAATTCTAAAGTTAAAAGGGTTCGACGTAACAATTCAAGATTTTCATGTACAAAAACACAAACAGGAATTAGAAGCTTGTCCAGTATTTTGGACTTTTTGAGAACGCAAATATATCCCGTTCTGTCGTGGTTGGTTCAATTATTCTTGTTGCCCAGCTTGATGTTGTTGTTGTTCATGTTTGTTTGTTTATTTATTTTGAATTACTACGTTACGGTAGGATCTATTGGCATTGACTTTTGCTTTTGCCTTGAATGATTCTTCACAGAAGATCCGCTTTCTTGTTGAGTCGTCTTTTACTGGTCTTACGAGTAAGTCTTTTTAAGTTAATACTTCATGTTAACCTCAAATTTTGTCTGACATTAGTGACCCTGTGCAGGTTAGTCCAATGACTATGTCCAAGGAAGCCTGCAGTATGGCTGATAAATTCCCCTCCAGCATTCGTGACTTCGGATACGTGTTTAACAGCGGTATGGCTTCTGTTTATTGAGACTTTACAGAGATCGTATGCTTTCTCACTCAGAGGAAACAGGCATCAACTGATTATCGTTGTCAATGAATGGTTTCAATTGTTTCCGTTTCATTTACAGAAGGAAAGTTACGCAAAATAGATCCTGCAACAGGTGAAGCTGGCAGTGAGCCGTTTGAATTCAATGTAAGCTCTGATCCGGCATACAACCAGAAGCGTTATGAAGCTCTTGGAGAGGTAAGATAAACAATAGTTTTTCTTTCTTCATGCTTGATTGATTGTGATTTTACACGTCAAGAAACAACATTTATTTCAGCTCATTACACCATATGTTTATCAACTTTTGAGTGATGATGTGGGCCTGAAGAAACTTCCAGTTCCCGACAGTCAGGACCCTTCAACATTCATTTTTGCCACTGAGGATGCCCTCTCCAATCCTGACAAGCTTATGGTACTCATTCATGGAAGCGGTGTTGTGAGGGCCGGCCAGTGGGCACGGAGGTATCCTAATTTGACTTCCTAATTCCTGATATTCATTAAATGCTAGTCTATTTCAAAAGCTTAATATTAACTAATTTTCTTTCAGCCTTATCATTAATGACTGTCTTGATTCTGGAACTCAAATTCCATACATTCAGCGAGCTATAGCGCAGGGATATGGAGTACTTGTTTTGAATACTAATGACAACAAGCGTACCATTAATGGGAAAGTTGTTACTATCAAGGTTCGCATCGTTTTGTTTCAGATGAGGAAAGGTGTCTAATTGGTTAATTCATTTTTTTGATTGATAGTTTTATGCCTACAAATAGCTGTTGTTCTCATTTTACAGGGTAGCAGTGACCCATTAGAACATGCAAATTGGGTTTGGGAAAATTATGTAACTAAGGCAAAGGCTAAAAAGATAGCTGTTGTAGCGCATAGTTTCGGTGGTGTTTGTGCTGTGGAATTGGTCAGTATTACAGTTGGTGACATTTCTTGAAACTCAATGGAATGATTGACTAAAGAGATTTGTTTTGGGGGGCCCTTTTTTAGGCTAGTGCTTATTTTGACGATTTTAAATCTAGAGTATTTGCTGTTGCGCTTACTGATTCAGTGCATCAAATGAGAGGGCAAAGGTTGAAAACTGAAGTAAAGGAGTATCTCTATTCAGTTGGTCGAAACTGGGTCTCAAGTGGATTACCTTTGGACAAAGTAGTAGAGGATTACAAGAAGTCTGATATTATTTCAGTTTCTGCAGGTAAGCAATTCTCATTTTATCCTTTCTTTATATCCTGTCTACACATTTTTTACAAGTTTATTTTTTCTTTCATTTTTATTTAGGTCACAGGAAACATGAAATGACATCTTGGTCCTGCATAGAATCTCTCTTCAAGTTTCTACAAAATAACTATGAACCTGTTAGTTAAGGAAATTTTTTCAATGAGCTTGGTCAAAATAAAAATGTTGTCCTTCTCCTCTTATTTAGTGGATCGTTAGTACAGTCAAACGCAACATACTTTACTCACAGGACAAGGCAGTACCCTAAAGCCAGAAATACAGCTTCCTTTGTTGGTTGTCAGTCACTGTTTGTTGTCTTTACGTACAAAAAGCCAATGAATAAATGTGCCTGAAAAATATTTTCTTCTTTTCATCATTTATCAAACAGAGCTTTGAACGTATGTAATAAACATAAGTCACAATTTAAAGAGCGGCACGGATTCGCAGTCAGAGAGCCGTCTGCGTTTGAAAAGTCCCGCCTTGGGAGAATGTCAGAGAGTAAACAATTGAACAGCGCACGCCGCCAGGGACGTAAACAGGCAGACCAGTTGAAATTTTCTCGGAATGAGTTTTTAGTGGAAACTGCGTAATACTCCGCCTGCAAAATGTCTGAAGGTGCAGGGGGAGATGGAAACCCTTTGTCGAACGGTTCCTTCTCGGGAGCCAAATCTAAGAGGAGTGTAGATAGTGACGACAATGACAATGATGAATGTGCCAACCAACCTGACTTGGGGTTAGGAAGTCAACCCCAGACAAGCAAGAGAACCACAAACGAGTGTCAATCAGGTAATTTTATTAACAGCGCTATCTGTCAATTAAATTTAAATACAGTGTCAAATTTCAAGCGGCATGCTTTTTTTTCTCATGTCAACCTGAACACTTTGGGAGTTGATAGTAACCTTGACCAATGCCTTGTTTTGTCTCTGTTGTCACCTTTATTTTCCTTACACCTCTGGTTTCTAAACTACTTCTACTCGCCACATTTCAGGTCCCAGTGAGGCGCCCCGGAGAGAAGAGAACCCGTTCTCATTTAAACATTTTCTGAGTAGAGAAAATGCCAATGGTCAAGGTGCTGCACATAGTACAGGTGCCAAACCCAAGGTTTTCACCAGCCCTACAGTGCCTCACCCTCCCGACTTAGAATATAACCGAAGTGCTCCAACAAGAAATTTTGCTACCAATCCAGACTTGGCCTCTGCTTTACCAGATTTTGTACAAGATCATTTGGTGGTTGAGCAATGTTTTCTCCGAGATGCTGCTTCTTCGGCGCTCTCTGTTGACTTAGATAATCTACCAGACTTTGCTGTAACGCAAGACTCTGCCAGTAACACTTCTGGGAACTCAAGGTCACGCCAAACTAGTTACAATAATTATAGCAGAAGAAGGGAAAGAAACCAGCACAATGGAATGGAAGGCATTCCCCTTGACTTACCCAGTGTGTCAAGCCCCCCATCTGTTGTGGAAATGGCTGGTGCTGCAGGTGGCTTGCCATTTGACCTTCCGCTGGTTCGGGATGCCAACGGTGTGAATGCGACTGGAAGCAGTAGCCCCTCCGGAAGTCCCAACCAACCCTCAGTTTCAAAAAGTCTTCCCGACTTCCTGTCTGATGGACCGATTAGAGGAGGCCATCTTCCGCCTGCAGATGTAACAGCTGAAGCCAGTGGAGTTTCTCAAAATCATGTTGCTGAGGACATGGTAGGTTTAGATTAAGTTAGGCTGCCATAGGTTCATTTTGTTTTACCAAATTTGTACTTACTGACTTGTTTTTTCAGTACCAAACTGAGAATGAAAGACTGAGAGCTGAGGTTGATGTTTTAAGGGGTCAGAACACTGAACTTTCTCGAAGGTTAGTAACTTTTATTCTTATTATTGAGTTTTCCTTTCATGTATTCACAGAATCTATAGATGGTCGGTTTCTGTTTTCTCAGGGTGCACTCCTTACAATCAGAAGTGAGAACTCTGAGAGCCAAAGAGCATGAAGATACGGTTACAATGGAGAAAGCGATTGAGCAGGCGGAGGAAAATATACAAAGAACTGTGGTCAGTATTTTTTCATTTTGTACTGTTGGCAAAGTTTCCTTACACATTGTGCAGTAGTAATTATAGATTTAAATATTTCATTGCACAGAAAAGAGCTGTTAATGCAGAGAATATGGTTTCAAAGCTGAAAGCTGACCTGAAACAGATGCAGGTAGGTATTGGATGGATATTTATAGAAATCATGTATCTGGTTAGATTATTTGTTTTCTAACACCTTTGAGCATTGCAGTCTGAATTGAGAAGAGCTCAGCAGGATTACTGGGAACTTAGAGGACGTGAAGGTGGTTCGAGCAGTGGGGCTTGTGGTGGTGTTGGAGTTTCGGGCTCCTCAACCCCCTCCAGTTCCATTGAGCAGCAAGTTCAAATGCAGAGATTCGCTCAGGAGCTGAAAGCAGCTGCATCTACAGCAGAAACGTCTCTTCGGTAAGGCATTAAATTTATCTCGTCTTTAATTTTTCTAGGTCACATTATTTACTTTAAATTCAACTTTGTACTCAGTTTCCTATGTAATACTACTGGGACATTTCTGTTTTGTTTTGCAGACAATTACTATCAGGTGTTGACAATCTTCGTCTCTTAGCATCAACCATGGAAACTGTTAATAGAGTGGAGGATCGGACCAGAGATTATGTATCTGATTCAGATGAGGCTACAGGACCTACTCTCTGAATTTAAAGCACCTTTTCGCCAGGAGAGTTGAAGATCTGATGCGTAGAGTCCTATAATGTAACCGGTGGTATTCAATTATTAAACTCTTTATTTTATTTTCAAGGTCTTTACTTGAAGAAAATTTTATATTTGTATTTTGATATGTTTACCTGACAAGGGTCTGCTTTCTCACAAGTCTTATTTCTAATAAGCATATGTAGCAAAGCTTTGATGATGGATTGTGAAAGGGTGTATTACTTGAATTCGTCTATATTCATTCATTATCCTGATGTCATCATGACTCCTGCCTCGTGTTTTTGAGGTTTTTACCCCAGGTACAATTGGGTTATTTCAATATATCTTGAGCTGAGTACCAGAGAATGTCAGTGTCTTCTCACTGTGCAGTATTGCACATGTAGCATTTATTTAACTTAAATCTTTTATTAACTTCTCTAGTCTATGTGTTCTCAATGTAATATGGAGCCATGATAAAAATAATGAATCTGAAAGCACTTTTATGTCAATTATAGCTATGGATATGCCTTAAAACGTTATGAGCACCTCTGGGTTAGTTATTGTTTAGGAGCAGACAAGTGGTTCATTTTACCAATAGGCTTTGAGGAGAGGAAAGAGTGACGTTTTCTTTTGTAAAAACTGCCATCAGAAGGCGAGGGTGTTAAGTCAAGACGAACATTTTGAGAGTTCAGTATTGCCAGAGAAGTAGTAAAAAAGGTCAAAATCCTAAAGATGATTTGTGATGGAAGCATCTTTGCCTCTCTCCCAAGCAATCGCTTACTACATCTGTTGAATCATTACCTACTTTTCTGGCAACACTGAAGGTTATAGACATTTTATCTAAAAAAAATATTTTTCTACTCTTACAATAAAAAGGGCCTTAATTTACTCTTGACCAACTTTTGGGGAAAGGAAATGGCACCTTACCCTAAGTTTTTGAGCCAAGATTTTATGTAGAAATCCTGTTTAAACTAGTGCCTAACCCTCTGTAATCTTGTGTTACAAATGACTTCCTATTATCCTTTTTCTTTTCTGGACTTCTGGTGCACACTTATAGATAAATATGTTATATTAACTGATGAGAAGATTCCCCCTACAATCAAAGTGTCAAGCTTATGCATGTGTCAAGTAAATATGATAATTTTGTCAAAGCAGTGGGGTCTGATGAAGTTTGACACCACTCCGGAATATTAATGATGTTGGCTGTGATCTGTTGCAAATGTGATCTATGTATTTGTGCTTTGCATCACTTTTTTGTTTTAAGTAGAGCAATAAAATTACGCAAACAATATTTGTACTTATTATTTTTTCTGGCACATATTGTTCTTGTTGATGAAGTTCAGTAACCGAGCCACAATTTATGAAATACCTTAATTGTGGTTTGCAAAGAGAGAGAACTAATAGTAACACTACAGCAATTCACACAAAAATTCATCAAATATTCTCTTTCTGGATGGCACAATATGATTGCTTTGATGAAAGCAGGACACAGAGAGCTTTAGTGCAAAAGCCCTCTTACTGAGGAAATTTTACATTCAGTTCTCAGAACACTAGCAGAGAACAACCGCTAATGTGAGCCTAATATAACAGAAAAAAAAATCACATACACTTGCTTTAAAGTAAAAATATCACAGGAAAAAAAACCCTTACAATGAAAATAAAAAGTCTTATACGTATATAGATGCCAAACTGAAACTTTGTATCAACTGGGTGATGAATGAAATCTCTTAAGTCGCCTCACAAACACATAAAGGGGGATTTAAAACTAACTTAAATACATGACTTGTGCACCAGACAAAAAAAAAAAGATCGTTCTTAAGTGCATGAATACATAAAAGTAAATAACACTTAGTAGACATCATAACAGTTCAGTTCTACTCATGGATAAAATTACGTACAATAACAAAATAAGTTAAAAATGATAATCTGTGAACCAGTACTAATTTATTTCTAAATTAAATATTTGTTACAGCATATTACTCTTTTGGCCTGATGGAAGACATCAGATCATTTCATGAAAATGTTTTTGATTGCCTTAAGATGTCTTATTGGCTAAGGCTGATTCAAACTCTGCCATTAATTCTTTCAAGTCCTCCTCACATGTTTGCGTCTCAATGTGAGAGGCTTCCTGCGACCAGCAGCACTGATTGTCAATTGCAGATGAGCAGGTGCTAAAAGCACTACTTGATATTGCTGTTTGAGTCTCGGCTGAAACAAGAATGGACTCCGACACTTCATCACTGTACAGAGGCCATGCAGTTTGGGTTTCAATGTCCGCAAAATCTAGACCCGAAAATAGAGAATCTTCAGGCGTTTGAGTCCACATATTGGTGTACAACAAAGAATCTAAATCTGCCAAATCATCAGTTGTTTGAGTCTCTGTGGTTGTGCGCATGGTATACACACCCTGAGCTTCTTCATCAGAAGGATGTCTTGGAAAAAGATGATTTAGATTTTGATCTGACTGAGTAATATTACAAGCAGTGAGGTTTCCGTTAGGGATCTCATCCAATGAATTTATTACATTCGCTGGGTGAGGAGCAGCATCAAAATGAGAGGTACCATTGACAACATTATCAAAACTGTCAGAATTATCTTCAAAGAGGCTCTGAAGATTGCTGGTTGAACAAAGGCTGCCATCTTGACCAAATAGGTCCAAGTTCAAGTCATTATGCAAGTTGTTGCCTTGAGTGAAATTCTCTGATTGAAGTACAGATACATCAGGGACAGGACCTGTCTGAGTGCTTGAAGTGTTTTTGTCACCAACCCACAAGTCTGGAAGACCAACATCTTTTTTCAAACAAAACGGAGAACAGGGCGATAAGGACATTGCATCAAGACCTTGCTCTAAAACTGGTTCGTTGAACTTTGCTGCAACCTTAAGGCATTTCCTTCCGCCAGTTTGAGTTCCTGAATTGCTCCTCCTCTTCCGTACTGTCATCGGTAAAAGTTCTGTTGTTTCTCTCTCAGGCAATAAGATGTTGGCGTCAGCCATTGCTTTCTTGAGAATATAATCACCCATTGTTTGAGTTTCTGCTGTTTTCTTTGGGTAAAGGCTCTTTGTAACACTGCCTGTTTGAGTGTGAGCAGAAGCTCTTCGTTTTAATGTCTTGTCCAAAGCCTTGTTTGGACTGGTCTTCTTACGCTTTAAGTCTACTGGATCAGTTTGCATACTTTTATCCTCCACCACAAGAGTGCACCCTGTTGATAGGTCAGATAAAGTAGATGCTGTCAAGACATTGACAGCAACACTGGCTCCAATTTGGTCAGGTACAAATTTGGGTAAAATGTAAACTGGCTGCATCATATCTAGGCTGAAGCAATGTGCATCTTTTTTTAGTACAGAATCTGTTACTTCCCCTTTGGATCGTCTGGAAGAAATTTGAAAAAATGTCAAAAGTAGAAGCAACATATAATCTTTTGGGTGTCACCACTTACAAGAGATCAAACTTACTTGTTCCCAGATTTGAATTTGTCATCGAAAGTGTGCTGCTTTCTTTTAGAGTGTGTCAGTAAGGCTTCGTATGAACTGTAGGAGTTTCCGCACGAACAGGTAAACTTTATACCACATACCTGAAGATGATACCTAAGTAATTCTTGAGTTGCAAAAGCCTTACTACAAGACTCACAGTTAAACCTCTTTTCACTGTGGACTTTGAGGTAGTGCTAAAAAAAAAAGTTTAATTAATGTGACATTTTATCCCGGGATCTAGAAAGAACAAAGATCAGCAAAAACAATTGTTTACCTGCTTCAAATATTTCATTTGAGTAAAATGTCGATTTGCATTAACATGATAAACACATTTCTCCTCAGGGCAAAAGTATCGCACTGTGACACTGGTGTCTCGTTTCGCTAGACAGGAGTTTCGATGATGCTTTGTGAGGTGCATGTTTAAAGCTGAGGAAGCTTTGAATGTTTTACCACATCCTTCTTCAGGGCAAAGTATATTACTGTTAACAACGCAGAGTTCAGATGCCAGTGGGCAGACATCCATACAAGCCATCTAAAACAAACAAAAAGAAATTTATCACAAATTGTGGTGAGCTGAGTGAATTCCGCCAGCAGAACAATAAGTGAATATAAAGGGCATTGAAAGTTATCAACAAATACAGAAAACCAGAAAATAAGCTTAAACTTTCATGTTGTAAAGTCTCGTTTGGGCGAGTAGGGTTAACGTACACGAACACTTTAGGAACTGAGAGGCACGAGGATGTAAAGAAAGGGACGCAGCATGCAAATGATGACATGTGGGACATTTAATTAAATTTCAACAGTAAAAGAAAAATGTGCAAACCTTTGCAGTCTAAATAAGGATGGAGTAGTGTGAAGTGTTCACACTCGTCAGGTCGGGTAAGTGTGTCCTGTTGATGTTTAAGCGAGGTAATGGCTAATTTTAACTGTTATGAAGCCCATGTAAGTTATAAGTCTTGTCATTGCAACCCCTCTGGTTTGATAGCAGGAAAAACTTCTACATTTTCAGCACGACTGGTGTGGTGACCATAGCAACCATGCACCATGTACCACCTGACCCAAAATCCATAATACCTCAAAGAAATTTTATATTTTGCGCTATATTTTCTTGAAAATAGTATGGCATGAAATATAAAATTGAAGGTCGGCGACGAGAATGTCTCTTTATGCATTAGTACTTATAGGAACCCTACTAATTTGCTAAAGAGGATTCCCTACGAATTTTGTTTGTGTATGTTGGCTAATTTTACTTTCAAAAGCTTGCCGCTAGAAGTCGCACCTTTCGCACCTGCTGCAACTTAGATCATAGGGTGGCCTATCCCCAGATTTCAAGCATGTATCTTTTTACGAGGGTGACGCAGAATTTTCAAACGAGCAAAATAGCTCGCTTAGCGTCGTTTTCCCCTCTGAAAAAGCCTGTTTACTGCCGCCGTGACGTGAAGCCCTGGCCGCGCCGCGGCCTCGCGTCCCTCAGCCAAGAATGAATGCGGCGGGGCGGCGGGAGTGGGAGAAATGAAAGAGTGAGAAAGATTCAATGGACGGCAAGGCAAAACAAGCCGAGCAAGCAACACGCAGCCGACGCGAGCGCGAGCGGACCGAGCTGAGCTGAGTCGAGCTGTGGCGACGCGACGGGAAGGCGAGGCAGCGTTCGTGCGGCGCTGCGCCGAGTCAGTGCAATTTCCAGTGTGCCGTCGTTGTCGATGTCTGCAGGGGAGCATTCTCTGCTCGCGTCCTTCCCCGTGCAGTCCCTGCAGTCCCCTTGGGGCCCTTCGCGTCCAGAGAGTCCAGGGCGCTGCAGTTGGCCCGAGAGGAGCAGCCCTGAAGCCCCAGTGCCACGGAACAGTGCCTGAAAATGATGTTGGAGTCTCGGCCGGAGCAGGTTTTTGTGGCAACCGGCTGCCGCTGCCTACCCTGCCAGGCCCCGGCCCAGGCCCCGGCCCCTGTAAGGCCAGCGGGGCCGCTGCTGAAGCTGCTGGCATAGCACTGTGCTGACATGTCAGCTTCGTGTCGCTGGACTTTCGTCGCGTTTTGCCCTCCGACCGGCCTTGCTAGCCTCGCCGGCTGTGCCGCGTGTGATGTGTGTGAGCCAGTGTGTGTGAGTGTGTGTCTCAAGTGAAACCATGTCCATTGCACTAATGCGATCAGAATGCAGGAAGTTCGCACCCAACATCTTCAACAAGAGCAAGTGCACCAACTGCTTCAGGCAGAAGGAGGAACATAGCGCCGAAGCTCTGGAAAGCAACAGGGTGAGTCTTAGTTCCGTAGTTTAAGGCAGCAGTGCGATGGGTCCAATGTTGTGCTGCAGATATGCACAGGGAACACGTCAGGTTGTCCCAAAAGAATCGGTTGATTTTACAGAGCCCTGGCCGATGTAAAGGCCCAGTGGCCAGCCCGTGTTCAAGACAAGCCTTAAAGTAATGGACCTTCCGTGGGCTTTCCACGAGCCACAGTATGTCGTTGGCTCATAGGCATTTGACCGACTAGTCAAATGGGGCACCTGCCGAGGCGGGCCTGAAGGGCCCAGACGGAAGGATTGACTGGGCGGGGGCCCTCAGGCAAGCCCTCTTGTCCTTTGGACACGGTGTCATTCCTCTCCGAGCCCCTCTCCCAGCTGATGCTCTGTGATGCTGCCCCGTCCGGAAGACCGGGGGCCCAGCCGCAAACGCTCCACCGCAAACGGACCCTATTTTGGGCAGCCTATTGCCGAGTGGATGACCGCCATGACCGCGGACGAAAAGAACTCATTCTAGTTCTGAGGATGGGCGACGGATGAGTCGGAGGGGTCCTCGAGAAGGTCCTCAGCGAGGTCCTCAGCCTGAGGCCGCCTTAGGCGCTGTCAAGCAGCATCGGAATGTCCAGGCGATGCCCAGGGGGGCTGTAAAGCGACACGTCCCGTGCACTCCGTGCCAGCAGAGGCGTTTATTCGCCGCTCTCTCTCGCACTCATACGTGACTTCCTATGAGCACGAGAGAGACAGAGCGCGGTAGATGATGACAGGCTGCTTACGGCCGCCCCCCGGGGCCCCGGCGGCCCCGTCTGGACCGCGCGCCTACCTGCGCCGAGCCTGAAGGCGGCAGGAGGCTGCAGGTGCATGGGATGATGCAGGCTGTGGGATTAGTCCCTCCCTCCCATTCTATCACGCCGGGCAATGCCGGGCAGTGCCGGGTGATGATGATTCGACGTTTCATCGAGACGACAACAAGGAGCGGCGCGCATTACAGCGGAGTGCATGCAAGCGCGGCAAGCCCCCGCGCACCAGCGCGCTGAAGCGGGTATATCGACCCAAGTCACCACGCCACCCTCACGACGCCTACACTGCGAGCGAAGCAGCGAAGCCCAGAAAGGCAGGGGCCTGCTTAGGTTGACTCCCCTCATCAGTACAGTCCACCGACAGGCCTCGCGTCGAAGTGGGCTACTATCCATCGGAACCATCACGCGCCTGCTTCGAGTCCCAAATGCAAGGACACTGAGAGTGCCTCGCGTTTTCTGGCCCTTGCTCCACTTGCCCATCGTTTCCCCGATTGCCCACCGACCGGCCGGCCTGTTTGCACCAGGGGCGTGTTTTGACTTCTGCTGCGCCGACCTGAGTGAGTCCACACGGCCTTGTTGACTCGCGATACCACTGCCGGCAGTTCCCACGGCCCGAGGGCCCGACGGCCCGAAGAAAGCCCGAAGAAAGCCCGAAGAGGGCCATAAGTGGCCCTACGCAAGCCAAGAGGCGTGACACAGTGGACCATAGAAGACCGACTGGAGACGGCCAAAATTCTCGACGCGTTTTGAGCCCCAGAGTCGCTAAATGGGCCTCGAATCGATCGCGTGACCCCACCAATGGATAGCTCTTCAAACAAGGAATCTATTGATAGGGTCACACGTCCGGTTCGTCTCTGCGACCCTGGAGCTCAAAACGCGTCTAGAATTTTGACCGCCTCCACAAGTCTTCTGGCAAATCCCCTGTGCGATCCGGGCCGTGCATCTGCTCAAGCTTGCGCTAGCGGGGAGCGAGGATCATTTTGAAACGCCGTGATTGGTTCGGTGGCAACGAGGCGGTCGTTACCTGGGCGCTAAACGGCCGAAGGACACTTATATGGTCACTGATTGGAGGCGAGGTGTGACGGCGTGGCGTAGGCTCGCTCCTGTTTGGCGAGCAGGAGAAACGAACTCGACAAAAACTAGAAATGAGACCCGACCGAGTTTTGTAATTGGGCACCATTATGATTATTTAAAAAGACAAAAAACAAGAGGAACAGCAGTATAACGTAATATTAAAAACATTGGCGCGAGATTATTTGGATTCGTGCCTGATGCATGATGCAGCTCGGAGAGGGGCGATGGAGAGGATGTGGTGGGCAGCTCATTGGAGGAGGCGGGAGCAGGTGTGTGAGTGTGTCTGTGCGTGTGTGTGCGCGCGCGATCGGTTCACACTGGAACATATCGTTTTGATTAAAAATTCTCATGACGGAAATTATCGGCCGATTACCTTCTGAAAGTGGCGCAAAATCTTGAAATTCGAACCGCCTGCAGGTTGAGGAGGTTGAGGGGGGGGGCCCCGTGGAAATGAAATCTCCCAATGCGAGGATTTGTCATCTCCGCACGGTAAAAACGGTACCTGGTTTTCCCAGGAGCCCTATGGCGAAGACATAGGCGATTTCCAGGAGGTTCCTGGGAAAACCAGGAACCGTTTTCACCGTGTGCGACGTTGCTTGAAATACGTCCCGCAAGTCAAGGTCCGCTGAGCGCGGCCAAAGTCCCAAAGGCCATTACACTAAAACGAAATGGGCCAAGTATGGCGATATTTTGCTTTCTACTTTATTTTTTGTGGGGGGCGTCGGCAAGCTGGTGGGCAAGCTGGCCGGTTCCATTGAGAAGGCGGGGCCCGGCCCTCTGGCCTTCCTGGCCTTCGCGGGCCCAGAGGGGCCCAGAGGGGCCCAGAGGGGCCCAGCCCGCTGCAGCGCAGGGCTGGGCTGGCTGGGCAGGCCGCGCTGCGCTATGCCGATGCCTGGCGACGCCCCCCCCCCCCTTTCCCACCTCAGGACCAAGTCAATGGTCCCCGTGACGCAAGGGACGCAGCGCTGCTATTTTTGGTGGGTCCGCGCGGGGCGTGCCGCGGGGCGTCGCGGGGCCTGGCGGGGTCCCCTGCCCCCTCCCCCTCCTCCGGCCCCTCCTGTATCGAGCTATGCCCTCCCGCCCCCCGCGCCCCTTCCTCCTAGCCGTACCTACGGAGCTTAATAATTCGTTGTGACATAACCCGACCTCACTTTGCAGAGACAACCGGGCGGGGGACGCGGGGGACGCCCTGTCGTCGTGGGGCCCTTCGACTTCCTAGTGCATCAGCCGCGGGCGCGTCGTGGTGTGCCCCTTTGGGGCCTTTGCTCGTGGAACTCGTGCCCCGCTGCCCCGCTAACGCCGTGGGCGGAGGGCCGTCCACGGGGATCGCACAGTGGGCCAGAAGACCGGTGGAGCGGCCAAAATTCTAGACGCGTTTTGAGCTCGAGAGAGTCGCTAATGATGACTCGAATAGAACGTGTGACCCCACGAATGGATTGCTCTCCGAAAGAGGAATCCATTGGTGGGGTCACACGGTCGGTTGGTGTCCCATTTAGAGACTCTGGACTCGAATTTTGGCCGCTCCACCGGTCTTCTGGCCCACTGTGGATCGGTTCCCGTTGACGAACGTTTTGCGCCGGGCAGTCTATTGAGCAAGGTTTTCATTTCGCCGTTATGCCGGAGGATTGACGTCTTGGATTGCAAAGTACTAGGTGACTTTAGTGAGCTATCAAAGACACAGTCAAAATCCCTTTCGGCACGGACTGTGTACCAGGGAGTAGCGAACGCGATCCGAAATTTTGCAAACGCCCCCAAAAAGGGAATAGAAAACCCGAAAGAAAAGCGCACAAAAATGAAACGAGTCGAGCGTGTACCTACACTGTGCTGGGGGCGACCTGAATGAGAAACACGGCATTTTACAAAGTCGCTTCCCTGTATGCGGCGCAGCGCGCGCAGCGCCGGGCCGGGCCGCGTTTGTTACGAAAGGAACGCGTCATACGTGGCGTGGCACGGCGTGGCGTGGCACGGCGCGGCGCGGCTGCAACAGCATGCAGCCAGCAATTTCTCATACCCCGGCATTTGACGCAGAGGCTCCAGGCCGTCCGGGCAGGCTGAGGCAGGCGAGGCAGGCGAGCGTCCCCGCCGGGCCTGCAGGCTGCAGCAGGCCGCGCTAGAAGGTGCATTCCCGGAGGGTCGCAAGTGATGAAGTCAATAAGGCGTGACGCTGGAAAAATGGTGTGCGTGTTTGCGCGTGTGTGTGTGTGTGTGTGTGCGTGTGTGTGCGTCGTGTATGCATGCATGCATGCATGTGAGCCATGGATGCTGCGTACACGGAAAAAACCGAGGGGTGGCCGACTCCAGAAATTTCTGTACGAGGAACATGTTCCGGACGGAACATGTTGGAACATGTTCCAATTTTGGGAACATTTCGGAACATCTCGGAATAGAGGGAACATCGGAAACATCAGGAACATCGGGGAACATATGGAATTATCTGGAAATATGTCGGAACATTTGGGAACATTCGGGAACATCAAGGAGCATCAAGGAACATCTGGGAACATCTGAGAATATTAAGGGAACATCTCCAGAGTACCTCCATTGCTGTCGAATGCAATGCAAAGAATAGATTCTACTTGATATCGCTATCGAATTCTGTCTTCTAAGCCAAACTGCAAATCTGAGTGTCGGATAGTCTGACCACACCTAAAGTCGAACCTGGGTCCATACTTCTTCGATTGATTCAAAATGGACCGGTTGACCTTGCCCTGTTTCCAAAAACACCCCTTCCTTTGCTATTCTAGCTTTGTAAGGGGATCCTACACTGAAAAACCAAACGTGGTCCAGACCGCACCACTGGTGTGGTCAGATGGGTGCCATTTTGACCGCATCAGTTGGTGTGGTCTAGACCACGTTTGGCCACGTTTGGTGCGGTTTAGACCACATTTGACCACGTTTGGTGTGGTCTAGACCACACCAACTGATGTGGTCAAAGGCATCCATTTGACCACACCAGTTTTTCAGTGACTGAGTAGATCGGACCGCGGTAATTCCCCCCTTCCCCCTTTTACGTACGTACGCGCGCGCGCAAACACACACACACACACACACACCATGCACTCTCATTACAAGTAGGTGACATCACGTTGAAACGAACGTGACAAAATGTGGCATTGTCACATTCGTTTGGACAAGGTAATTT